TTAGGGAGGGAATCAAAATTCATTAAATATTTTTTTGGTTAATTTACTAGTTAACAAAATTAAATATTTAGAAATGTGGACATGGAAGGTGAGGAAAAGGGGAAGGGTAAGAGGGTTCATATATTTCATATCCTACCCTATTAAAAACCCCTTAGGTTTAACACTTGCTAATAATATTAAATATTTTTAATATATAGTATGATAGTTCAAAAATCTTTTCGAAATATAATGTATTCATTTTATTTCTTATAACTGGGCCCATTTACATTTATATCCTTCTTGGCTTCGATTTTCAAAGTAATTTCATGACATTATTTTTTTAATTTGCTCCAGATTATTTTCATTATCCTTTTTTTGTTATAAATAGCAGTCAAGTTAGTTATACTAATATCATTTATTGAGGTTGAACATGAATATATTTTTCTTTAGAAAAGTTAGTTCATAGTTATGATAAAAATGTTTTAGCCAATATATGTGATGTGCCCATTTTTTTAAATATAACTTCTTTCTATCTTTCTTTCTTTCTTTCTTTCTTTCTTTCTTTCTTTCTTTCTTTCTGTCACAACGACAGATTTGCCATTGTGCATCAAAACCTAAATATAAAAATAGAAAACAAATATACATATAAAAAGGAAATTAATCTTTATGCAAATTAATTCTAACATTCACAACACCTCCCTACTTAAATTAGACCCAACATTCTGCGAATAATCAATCTTCTTTCGATCTCGACTTATTCTTCTTAATTTTTGCTGTCTTCTAAGTTCTAACGAAGGCTTTGTCGCTTGAAATTTTTGAATTATATCTGTCGCTTGTCACCCTGGGAAATGATCAGCTTTTTATCTCTGTAGGCCACTGACGAACTTGATAAAGGCTTGTTTTCCACGATCCACGCTTGATGAACGATTATCGATGCCATCCAGTTTCATCGTAGCTTGTTTTCTATCATTCTCTTGTAATCCACGATTAGCTATTTATCTCGATAAACGATTGGTCTGCGATAAACGATGGTTTTCACGAATTCTTGTTCCTATGATTGTCGATTTCCGTATCTTAGACTCAAGTCTCGATAATAATTGGCTATTATTGATCCGCGATTAACTATTGTAGCATAACGTCTTGACCCTCTTTTCTATCAATTTGCTCGTTTTCCCCCTTTCTCTTGTAATTGATTGGTTGTTGCCTCTAATTCTTGTAATCGTATCTATATTTCAGACTTTCGGGTCTTCTACGACAGTTTGCCCTTGCTGAGATATCGGGTAATCACATCTAATCTACTTCTACCTAAAATAATCTATTTACATATCTACATTTATCTCCTCTAAACTAATTCTGCCTTTAATAAATGGCGTAAATTATACTAAATCTTAAATTTTATAATACGTAGCAAAATATAATAAATTATATAAATATATCACATTCTATCACCCCTCTCCCCTTAATGAAGCCTAGACCCATATTTTCATTGAAAAATTTACTTGTACTCATCCTTTAGCTATTGATCTCATCTTCTTTTCAGCCATGTCTAAATTTATATCTAAAAATCCTATTCTAAAATATATATCAAAACCTATCTTTTTTAAAAAAATTATCATTGTGTATTTATTTCCTCATGTACTCTTTGACACTCAGTCTTTAAAAAAAACTGCTGAAATATATAAATCTCTTTTCATACATACGTTGTTGAGAAATCAATGACCTAATCATAAAAGTTTTCATACTTACGTTTATGAACAACCTCTTAATTCTAATCACTATGGTTTTCACCCCACGTCTTTGAAGAACTTATGAAATCTAATCATTATAATTTTTCGCACAACCGTTGTTGAAAACTGATATGTATATTTCTAAAGCATGTTTTTCCTTTTGTATTATTAGAATAATATTGTATGATTCTTCTTAAATCTTATTCATGATTAAAAATAAAAATCCGATCTCAAATTGAGCTCGATTGCGGCATAAATTTTCTAATGACGAAAAGCCGATTCTCTCTATGAAGATTTTTTGGTTAATCTACAACCTAATATACTAATTCACATTAATCCTTGAGGCTGTTTTATCTCTCGCAGCCCTTAAAATAAAAGTTAAACGTAAATCTTCAATAAGAATTTAATCAACTATTTCCTAACAATAAAGTTATATTCTAATCTTATTCACCGAATTTTTTAATTATTATATCTCAGCAACCTATTAGTTAAATATTAACTTTCGCAATTTATGTTTCTATTTCTTTGTCAAATAAAATTCCTAATTATCACCTTTAAATAACTAAACACAATTATCTCTATCTACTATGAATGTTACCTTTGTCTTTAATTTTAGATTTTATAATCCTACATAAACATAATCTTAACAACATAATTTTTCCTTTTACATATTTTTCTTACGTTCTTCTAAAATTTTTTTTTTGTATTAGAATACAGTTTGACACATCTCCTTGTTGTCCCACCTGTCACAGACTGAAGGTTGTAAAGGGCCGGTCTCCTCCGCTCTCCAACACCACTGTCACAACGACAGATTTGCCATAGTGCATCAAAACCTAAATATAAAAATAGAAAACAAATATATATATAAAAAGGAAATTAATAATAATTAGGAATCACGAAATCATAAAATCAACTTTAATTCTTTATTCAAAATTATAATAGTAAAAATCATAAAAAAATAAAATAAAATATAATTAAAAAAGTTAATAATTTAAAAAAAACAAAGATTATTTGTATAGTAAAAATTTGCCTTTTTATACTCTTTTCAATCTTCTTATAACTAATCATAACTATTCAAATATAATCTTTTTATCACGCGTTATAACAATAAATCCACAAAAATTCTTTATGCAAATTACATATAAAGTATAACAAAATCCAAAATAAATCTTTATGCAAATTAATTCTAACATTCACAACACTTTCTTTCTTTCTTTCTTTCTTTCTTTCTTTCTTTCTTTCTTTCTTTCTTTCTTTCTTTCTTTCTTTCTTTCTTTCTTTCTTTCTTTCTTTCTTTCTTTCTTTCTTTCTTTCTTTCTTTCTTTCTTTCTTTCTTTCTTTCTTTCTTCTTCTTTCTTTCTTTCTTTCTTTCTTTCTTTCTTTCTTTCTTTCTTTCTTTCTTTCTTTCTTTCTTTCTTTCTTTCTTTCTTTCTTTCTTTCTTTCTTTCTTTCTTTCTTTCTTTCTTTCTTTCTTTCTTTCTTTCTTTCTTTCTTTCTTTCTTTCTTTCTTTCTTTCTAATGAGAAAACTAATATTGTATTGAAACAAATTTAAAGATAATTTTAGCATTATATTCAAGCTACAATAACTTTTCACTCATATATGAAATACTATTCTATCCTTCATTGGGCCTTGACCTCAATTATGAAGACCCAAATATAAATTACTTGTAAATATGGAACTATTTACCTATTCAGGTGATACGTAATGCAATTAAATTTTTTTAAGCATATTATTCCATTTTATATATAATTTTAATATAGTTTATATATATATATTTATGTATTATTTCATAAACAATTTGCATGTTATATCCTAAACACAGTTTCGAACATTATAGATATTTTTTAAATTGTATCCTTTTAAATAAAATATTTTCCCATTCATACATATAAAGCACGCTTTTTTTACAAAAAATACAATTTTTGATGGAAATATGAGCAAAAAGGCTATATACAAGTTAAAATATCTTATTAAATCCCTAAATAATGAGGGGGATTTATCGTATGAAGAATTTAGACTCAAGGTAGATTATTTTAAAATTTATAAAAAACAATATAAGGATAAAATCAGCAAGTATAACTTAATATTATATTTTTTTTTAGATAAAAAGACTCTCTCAACAATTAAATCTGCTAGCAAATTATCCAAAATTTTATAAAAACAGGGTTAAGATATACCAAATTCTTGTACATATGTTTGAGGTTAATATTTATAATAATCCTGATTACTTATCAATCTTTTAGGGAAATAAAGAATTATGTTTAAAGATATTAAATGATGATGACCTTACCAATTTTTTATTGATCTGTTTTGTACTTAAATATTTAAATGTTAAAAATCAGAATAACAATGTAAAATATATATTTTATTATAAAAATTAATCTGTTATTATTACTATAGGACTTAGATATAAATTTTTATAATAAATTTATTATTGAAAATAAATTTCAATTATCAAGACCTAATATAGTATACCCTTATAAACTTATTTAGCCTAATAGTATTTTATAGGAATTATCAAAGTATATTTTACAATATGGAAATATTGAGATGATATATAACAAAAATTTCCCCTTGTTAAAAAAAGTTATGTTGAGAAATCCAGAGATAACAATATTTAGTATAACTTTATTTAAATATTAATTATTATTCATCTTTCTTAATCATAGCTAATAAAAAAAAAATTTATTTGACTGATTTTCTATGAATTAATTTTAGATGTTGAAAATATGTTTTCCTACTTATCTTCTCAATTAGCCACTCAAGCACAAATTAAAGAATTAATATCAATTTTCGCAAGTATTTTTTCATTATCATATTATAATTAAGTATATATAATAAATTAATAATTAGGAAACAATATTTAATAAAATAAACATATCCTCTATTTATTTAGCATACATCACATCTCAAAATGAAATTCTATTAAACCAATCCAAAATCATATTTCAATCTATGGCTTATTGGTGTTTTAAGGAACCAACGGGAGAGAATATAACACATATGATGCAAGAATTGATTAATTTTTATAAGGGTAAATATTTTTGAATAATTTTATATATAAACATTCCATGAGTTTTGGTAAAATAAAATCATATTAATTCATTATAAATTTTTTGAAACATATTTTTATATATTCATATAATAATATCCAGCCTTCATTATGAAAAAAAATAATACTCTATCATGTTTATTTTAAAAATTACTTATTATTATTACATTTATTAAAATATTATCTTTAACAGGTTCAACTAATATTACTTTTGTTTATATTATCCAGATACTAAATCTACCACAACAAAAATAAAAGCAAATATAGTCGAAACTATAGATCAATGTTCTTGCAAAATAATTCAGCACAATTTACAGTTTACCCCTGCAAAAATGGAATCTATCAAAGCTATTTTAGAAAATATGAAAGCCAACATGATAGAGAAAGAAGGTAACATGAATTATGATTTTATAAAATTTTACATTCTATGATATTTACTGATGTCGTTAATGTTAATTGTTTAAAATTTAGGAAAAAATTATGTTAAATTTAGAACTAAAATATTGAATATACTAAATAAGATTTCAATAAAAAAACTTAAATTATATTTCTATGGTTTTATAGTTCCAAACTTTAAATAATGTCTTAACTTATTAGAAAGAAAGAAAGAAAGAAAGAAAGAAAGAAAGAAAGAAAGAAAGAAAGAAAGAGAGAAAACCAAAGTTATAAATGAATTTTATAATTTAATTTTAGATTTAGATTAAATTAATACTATATTGTAAAAAACACTCATTTTTTTATAACATTCTATCTTATCATATTCCAAATTCTATTTAATCTTTTAAATTAAAAAATTGTTTTAAACAATAATTTGATATTTAATGATGACAAAACTAATATATTATTATTAATATTATAATTTTCAATATTGCAAAGCTAACGAAAGTTTGTTAAACCAATCCCTTTCCGCCTTCAATACCTGGTTATCTCTTTTAACCGCTCAAAATTATTTTAGGACCATTAGCAAAACGGGGAAAAATATGGAGGATAATCAGATCCCCAAATTAGCCATCGATTTTTCTCATTGGTGCAAAATTATCGATTTTGTCACCAAATTCGTCGAGACACAAGTTGCTCTTTCTATTCCTAAAACCATTAATTCGCCCGGAATCCTCAACACCAGAGTCAAATATTTGGAGATTTTGAATAACTCTCTAGATGGTAAAGATATTATAAATAAAAAAACATCATAAAAATTAAAATGGTTCATAACATTTATAAAAAAAATAACCTTAAGGTGGTGCCTGTAATAATTTTTTATATAGTTAATTTGCTTATATTTGACCTTGTCAAAAAAAATTTATAAGTAAATCTTTTGTGATTTTTATGCACAAAATATCCTGATAAAATAGCATTTTTTTGATCTTCAATTGCTTTTAATAATGACCCCAATTATTTTCGAAATAATTTTAAAACGATAATGATTTGTATCAATTGTTAAATAGAAGATACAAAATATTTGAAACTATTTTTTGCTAACAATAAAAATTATTGGTCTCAGCCCAAATTTTAAAAACTAGTGTTTTAACCCTTTTAAGTTTTATTCTTCAGCCGCTGAAGAATAAATGGGATATTTAACTAAAGGAAATTGCCGTTACAATAACTAATTTATTTTTATTTGTTATTTAAAATAAAATAGTTGGAAATGATTGATTATATTTTTTACAATTATTTAGGCATGATTTACGCTTCGGATTCTCTAAATTCTCAGAACACTTTTCACAAAATGTCGCTCGATACATTGAAGCGCATTGAAACTGCAATCAAAACTCTTAACACCAAAATATCAACCACTCAAACGATTTCTAACCTTTCTCTCCTTCACCAGACATTGATCGATAATTCCATTTTAAAAATCAGCCATTTATTGACATCTACCAAAATTCAAATTATAGGTATGTAAAAAAATCATATTTTACTTTGACATATAATTATAATAAATTTGATTTACGAATTTGGGTATATCTCAATCATATTCACCAAATAGATATTGTTTATAAACAGAGAAGCTCCAATATACATGTTTATCCACGATATCATTTGATCCTATACCCAACACTAATACCAAAAAAATAATATAATATATTTATTGGAAAAAATCAGATACATGCAATTAATTAATATTGTCATTTTTTTAAATTTATTAATATTTATCATCAGATTTTGGAAAAAAATATTTTGAGTAAATAATTTTAGCCATTTTAGGTAAAATTTGATCTTAAGTTATAACTAAATATATCAGTTTACTACCTTTACTCAAGTTCATTTATTACTCAAATTATTTTTTTTATTCAGTTTAATTTACCAAAATTTAAAAGTTTCATTAAAATTTACTTGAAATCGATTGCCGCCCATTATCGACAATTATTTATAGTGGTATCGCATATCTGGTCACCCATTTTTTCTAATATATTCCCGGCTTGTGTCTTTGATCCTATTTATCCCTATCCAATCAGAGTAGGCATCTATTCTACAATGAAATCCGTTTATATTATTTCAGCAAAATCTAAATGTTTTCTTTTCCATGGTTGTTGTTGGATTAAATTGATTTTTATGAAACTTTAGATAAACACTACTTTTACCATTCTATATGAGTATGGAAAAAATTAGAGTGGAACCGATACTGCTTTATAGGCAAATGCTATAAAAACTAATAACGGAATTAATTTTTTGAAGCCTTTTTACATTTGGTTGATTGACCTATAAAGTCACCTGGGAAAATGGTCTCTTTGTGTAAAATTAAGCTTGCTTCCTTTAACGGCTCTAATGAGGCCACCATTTTTCTACAGTTTTCCAATCTTCATCGGAGAAAAAAATTTCAGGGTTTACCATTTGTAAGGATTCAGAAAATAAAAAGAGCATAATATATGCACCTGTTAGATTTTTTAAATTATAAAAATAAATAAGAAATTTATATATCATTTCAGGAAGGTTCCAGAATAGACGTTCCGTTCCCTTTCCATAAATTTATTAAAAGTTCCTTTATATATTTTAATACTAGTGAGCAATTTTTAATCAATCATTAAATTATTGAATTAGACACTCGCAAAAAGGCAATTTTTTTATGCTATGACCGTAAATATCTTCAAAAGTATAAGAGCTAGGAAGCTAAAATTTTTCCCAAATATAGATTACAATAATCTTAGTTTATATTCGAATTCTCATCAAAATTGAAGGAGGTTGGCCGAGAATCTTGTTTTTTTTAATCGATAAAATTTATTATATAGTTATATTATAATGTCCAATTGAATCATTGAGCGTTCTTAATGGTTATATAATAACATTCGAGGCGACTTTAAAGGGTTAATTATCGAAAAAATTAAAATTACATAATATTAAGAATGCGTCCATTACCAAATAACTGGTTATATAGCTTCGACTAAACAGCTTAAAAAGTAAAAGAGAGAAAAAAAGAAATATAACAGTGCCAATAAAATAAGTCTAACCCTGATACACCCTAAATGTTATATATATATATAACAATGTAGATTACGATAAAGAATCTAGCCCTTATAAAACGGTTGCGAATTTATTGGCAAAAGACAAAGAAGCCTTCCTCAAAGGCAATTCTCACCTATTCTATCCCGTGGAAGGTTCTTCTAGCCATTCGTCCATCTTCAATAACGAAAATTTTAACCTAATAGTCCAGTTGGTTCAACATTGTCACATGTTGTGTTCCAAAAGATTGAAGGATTATTCTGTTTTGAAGTTTAAAGAAAAAAATATTTATAAAATTTTGATTTTTTTTAAAAGTATGGCTTGGCCGAGCGGGCCTTACTCTGCACACAGTCAGCTCGCATTCGCGATGAAGTATATTAAATATGCGTTAAGTCGCAGCAAAGTATACGAAAATATGCTGTATTTTTTATGCTTCTTCGCCAATTCGCGCTAACTGTGAATGATGGGTTAAACAGCATAGATAATCAAGGTATTGTCCGAATATTTAAATTTAATGCTTAACATTAAAATTAGAGTTTCAAAAAATTTTTCTAGTAAAGATTACTCTTTGAAGAACCGAGATTTTTGATCAATTTTACATTAAAAAAAATGTCATCTCATATATTTTTGTTTTAATTAATTTTTTTGAATATTTTTTTTTCACACTCTGATTTAATCAAAGCTGGAAAACGGAATAATCATATAACGAAAATTTTTTAACATCTATAAAACTAAAAAAAAAATTGTAATTATTTATAAAGATGATAAGGGAGGGAAGCCTGACGGGTGATTTATTGAAATAAAAATTCGAATGATCAATCATATATAATGCTGTGGATTTCTAATTTTTTTTAAAGAATAAAAACGTATTTAAAACTATACGTAGAATTATCATTACGCTAATTATTTATTTATAAAACACCAAACATATTTCAAAGCTTATACACTAAGGCCTTGGTGTCTATAGCTTGTTCGAGCCCCTTTCACAAATCCAGAATGATGTCCCTTGAATCGATGATCCAATTATCCGATTCATTTCACGAATCGATAAATTTTCGGTTACGTTTCTTGGCGGATCTTTTAGGATACCTTGGCCATTTCCCTGATAAGGATAATTTCAAAGTATTTTAAATATAGTAGTCGATATTTAGAATATTTTTTAAAAAAATTGTTTTTTTCCTTGTAACTATAAAAATTAAATATGTATAGTAAAAATTTAGTTGGCTTTAAATAGAGAAAGTATTTCTGACTCAGATAAACCTCCCCCCCCCCTCCAAAAAAAAATGTTAGATATTAGTTTGATCCATAAAACTTTTTTTTTTGAATCAAAAATCGTATATTATTTGATAAAATTAATATCTCCTCATACTATTAGCAAACATTTTGACTAAATTTATCATGAATATTTATAACCATTTTTTCTTAAGGGAAGGCCAAATTACTTAATAAATTGCTTTAAAAATCTGATCGCGTCAAATACAAAATCCGCCTCGCTTTCGGATTCGGATATGAGCGATATGCTAACCAAAACTATCTACATTTCCTCCCATCCTATTTTAAGTATTATAATTTAATTAATACAAAAAATATTAATATATTTCGATATATTATACAGTTGTTTTAAATATATTATTATGTCACTTCTATGGACAAATATATAATTTAGATATAATAATACCATAATAATTTTATGTCTTGTAATAAACGTTCAAACTTCCTCGCAAATTATTAGAATAAAATTCCCGATTAATAAAGCGCGGGGATTGAGGGAAATTTTATTTATTCAATATTTCATTCTTTTTCGAGCTTGCTTGTTTAATAAACTCAAAAAAAAATCAAAACCAGGTAACCCCAAATCCAATTACCTTATGAAAGCGTATCTCAAGTATCATCACATTCGATTTGATTCTCATCAGATCATAACTAATCAATCATTGGAAAACGTTATAGATGACGTTTTCTTCCGAATTGAGAATCCGGACAAATTCAGAAATGGGCTCAACCTAACGGTTCTATTTTATTTTCACTAATGTGCAGGGTTAGGAAATTTTTTCAAAAAAGAGTATTAAATAATAATATAAATACATTTCGAAAAAAAGTATCTGAATTATAAATACTAAAATATCTTTACGAATACTTTTTGGGAAAAAGTTTTTTTTATACAAGCAGGGCTATGCTTGGCTCTCTTATATTTTAAAAAAAACTGCTATTAATTCCTAGTTATAATGCGTTGAGTAAAATTATATATTAAACATTAAGTTTTAATCATTGGAGATTTTGGAGCGAGTTTTTTTTACAATCGGATGTCCTTCCTGACATCAGCCCCTTGTAGGTGACCTTTAAACTCCGCCGAGGAGACGATGACCATATCCTAAACCCAGACCATATGGGAACTTTTTAAACTTCCATTAGTCCCCAGGTTGTCACTCCCCTGCCGCGTTGAGGCTGATGATAGGATCTTAGGGAGATATTAAACATTAAATAATAATAAAATATCATTTATTTATAGTAAGGACACCCATACATTGAAATAAGGATTCTAGCAAGCCGATGATTAGAATTTATTATTTAAATAAATTAGTGTGATGATAATTTGATCATTTTCTCTAAAATTGCAATAAATTAACAGATATATCCTTTATAAAATAGCCCGATTGGCAAAATAACCTGATTGCGATTTGCGTCACCTGTTTCCCGTCTCAAATAGCGCTTTCATTCTTTGTACCCAAAATTTTGAGCATTTTGAACAAGGATAAATGGTTCAGCGTTGATGCCAAAGATTTGACCATACATAGGACTAGTCAGGAGACTCTGTACAATAGGGAATTATACACGGAGTAATTTATATATATATATATATAAAGAAGAATTATACGCGCATTAATAAAATTAAATTGATGCGTTTTGAATATTATATTTAAGCTTTAACGTAGTGGAAAAATAATGATAACATAAGTTTTTTATTATCGACATGTCATCTCATCAAATATCGACAATCATAAATCAATAGAATAAAATATTTATAATTAAGTTTAGTACTCCAAACTATAAACTTCCAATGGTGAACGTCCAATTTATTCATAAAAAAATCTAATTAATATCATAAACGATAATATAAACATTAATATAAAAATATGTAAACAAATAACCCATAAACTATCACATTACAAAATCGGTTCCAGTAAATATATCTTCTTTGTTCTTTTTCAGCTGGCATCTCCTAATCTCCTCATTCTCCCTTCTTCCCCCAATGAAAATTAATTCTTCTTGTCAGAAAAATGACTGACATTTAATATATTATATTAAATTTATTTCTTCTTTTCTAACTGCTACAACAGAAAAAATTGGTAATATAAGTATGTAAAACTAATAAAGAACGGACAAAGTGGAATAAAATATTTTTATTTTTCCGTATATATCTATGCATACACAAGTGTCGCGTTAATTGTGAATGCAGGATATTAGTGAAAAAAATTTTAAAAATAGATTTATATTAGTTAAGAGTAAGGTGTGCCGTTTTTAATTATATTTTTTAAATATTACAACAAATAAATTATATATTTTTTCCTTTCAATTAATATTATGAAACTATTATAACATAGCTAAAAAACAATCTAAAAAATATCGTCCAAATTCGATTTATTTTGAAAGCACTAAATATCGACCCCTATCCGATATCCCTATTAAAAGTAGGACACCCTTCACGGTAGACGTATTTATCAATTAGGGGGGGGGGGGGGTTAGATAATTTATGATTTAACTTCTTTTTATCATTCAAAACTAATAGAATTTTGGAATCCATTCAGACCTCCAAATTTGGGCTTACTAAATCATCATTGCCAAAAATTCAAGCTATCAAAAACCCGGCGGAAAGGTCCGAGATGTTGGAGAAATGGGAAGAATACCAAACATTATTAAAGGAACCTAAGATTTTTGTCAGTCTATCTAGCGCCGAGGCTCACGTTCACACTGTCAATTTGATACCAAAGTTGGACAAGTTGTTGGACTCGAAACACAAGAAGCTCTTGATCGAAGAACACGAGAAAGAATATCACATTAGGGATAGGGTTAGAAAGGTTAACAAGTATATTCATATAGTATTGTTTAAAGTGACTGGTGTTATAATTAGAAATAAAAAGTAGCTTGCATTGCAAGTTACTTTATATTGGCGTAATAACTCATCATTTTTAATGTAAATTTATTTTATACTAAATAATTTTGTGATTTACAAATTTTCAAAAAATACCACTCAAGATATTTATTTGCACCGAAAAAAATATATAAAAGGCGGTAAATAATTACTTTAACAATACTAGTATTTAATCCTTTTTTTTTTAAAAAAAATAGTTATGATCTATATTAAGTCAAAAAATGAATAGCGTCACATTTTATTGTATTTTTTTTCATGTTTTTCTTAGAGATATTTGATAACATGGTAAATTTTCTTTATATGTATAACAATCATTGTTACAAAGTAGTAGGGGTTGCTTAGAGAGGTTAGAGACTCTGATTGAGATGCCAAGCAATGCTGGTTTGATCTACAAGTAAAGTTTCTTCTTATGTAACTAATCTATTCGAATAGGTAAGTGGTTGAAGGTTGCATTGATACGGGTGGTGGGTAGGGTTTAAAAATGAATGTTATTGCATTTTTAATAAAAATTTGGTCGTTCTTAAATAAATTACTATATGCTGATTGGCGATATATATCATTATTCCCATTATTATCTGTGGCAAATTTTAAAAGCTAGATTTAAAAGGCTACGATATCTATCTTGCATTATATTAGTTCCTAAATCAATTGTAGGTAAGGCAAATGTTAATAGGAAGTATAGATGCTTATTATGGTTAAATATATTTTTTAAAAGAAAGAGTAAAAGATCTCAATATCCTTTAGGTTAAAAGTTAACGGTAAAGCACAGATGACCAGTAAAAAGGCATGTTTTACAATTCTATGTTTTTATTAATATTAGTAAGCAATGTGGCTCGGCTTCAAAAAACATTGTTGGCCATTTTAAATTTCTAGAAAAAATATCTTGGAAATTAATCCGCTATAAATACATTTGTGAGTCCCAAATTTTAACCAATAAAAAAAAATGCCCTGCTAACTGACTTACCAAAGAAAAAATTATATAATTTATTTTTGCTTTCATAACATTCACCCTCTAAGTCCCCAATTATTCAAAATAAATATTTTGTTAACAGGAAATGCTAGAAGCAGGGCACTTGAGACGTATATTGATGGTTTTGTTCGACGTATTGGTCAAACCCGAGCCGCCAATCTCCCACGCAAAATTAGTCAATTTTTCGAATAACTCGATTAGAATCATGAAAGAAACATTTTATCCCTATTTGGACGAAATTTTGGCCACCTTGGCCAGACATCGTGAGGCTCAAAGTATCACCAAAATTGACAAGGTGAACGAAAAAATAAAGACGAATGTTGAAAGAAAAGGAGTCACGACCGATTTAGATCACATGATCTTAAATGATTCTGGCGCCATGTTTCTTCATTACGTTCCGGAAATATTGAATAAGTTAAAAGCTTTGGTATTTCCCGGATATCCAGAATTGGAGAAAATAGGTAATTCAATTATTTCATTTTAATTTTTGAAAGAATGAAAAGAAAGTAAACTAAGGATGAAAAAAATGGTAATAATTTTTTTTTGCAAACTAAAATAAATTATCAAGGTGATTTGATCCTAAAAATCATGAACCGACCTCAAAAGACTGACGTAACCTATTCTGACGAAGTTATAAATGCATTGTCTTCCATCATAAATCATTTATCCGATTACGTTAAAAAATTACCCGCGGACTCGAATAACCAAGTTTTTTTTTACAAAAATATGTTGGGGGGGGGGGGCACTTGTTACACTCCAATAAATTCAACAATAAAATCTAGCCAGAATATTTTTTTTAAAATTTTGAGTAAGCTTGGGCTTTCTTTGCCCCTTCCTTAGCGAGACCTTTGGTTACACAATAATATGAATAACTTATAAATTGGGAGGGAGGTAGTTAGAACCCTATAAATTCCAATTTTTTCGGTCCAATCCTAAAAAAGCATTTTATTTTCATAAAAGAAAGGAAAACATTTTTTTAATATATTTTCAGAGCCTTTTCGTTTTTTTATATTAAATTTTAGACACGGGGGCCCTAGGATGTGATTATACAAAAAATAACTATAAAATATTGTAAGGAAATGACTATTTTTTAAATGTAGTATATCATATTTAACTTGTTGGTAACAATATATATTTGACTAATAGTCGCAGAAGCTCAATGCCGCAGTCACGTTTATCCTACCATTATTCCACTCTACGAGCCCTTCTGTTATGTCAGAACTAAACGATTCTGCCTTCTCCCAGATCGATATAGCATCGCGCGATAAAATGTTGGAATTTTTGGCATATTTTTTTGCCAAGGAATATTACGATCCGTGTATATTGAAAAGGCTGAGGATTTACGAATTCATGATAGATACATTGGGCTCATCTGGTAAGGGTATATAAATTAGAGGCTGGGTAAAAAATAAGAGCTATTAAATGGGGCATAGCACATCCCCATTTTGAAATTATTATATCACACTCTAAATATCGACAGATTTTTTTTGTAGTGCCAATCGAAAGTGTTGCTATTCCTCAGTTATACCATACCACTTAATTAAAGAACTTTGTGCTAAATGTTACTACAACGACCAAAAATTAATAATAACAAGTTTATAGTTCGGATCAATTATTTCTTTTAAGCAGCCCTGAAAATCTATTTGATTTCACCGAAAGGGAAAACTCAAACTTTAATATCAATTTCATTTTAGTTTAAAAAAATTGACCGGATCTGATTGATCACAGATATATGGAGAGTAGTGTTGTTAAACGGCTTAATTTGAGCCGATTTTTAAAAATGGCTAACTCAATATTTTATTCAGAAAAATATTATACAAGCCTGAAATTTTTATTTTTCTCAGAGTTGACGTAAAGGTTTGAGATATAATAGCGAAATCTCGAGACTTAGGCAATATTTTTCTGGCTAAAATATTGAGTTAGCCTTTTTTTCGGCTCAAATCGAGCCGTTTAATATTAGTAGTGAGAGTTAAGTTTATATAGTATATCTCCATGTATTTAAACTATTATATATAATAAAATGGTCATTGTTTAAAAGATTGAGAGCTTATACATCCACCGTAGTAGCGTTTATCACAAGCCAATTTAATACATGATTTTGGCATAATAAAGTTTCTGTTTGGAATATTATTTTTTTCATTTGCAATATTATTTTTTTCATTTGCAATATTATTTTTTTCATTTGCAATAATTATTAATTCATTCAAATTCTTCATCGTTCTTTTTTCCTTCCATTCCCTAAAATATATTGTCAATAAGGTTGTTATTTATTTCTCCAGTATTTTTACAAATATTTTTTCATCATTAATAATAATATGCCACATTACCTAAACATTTTAGTTCCAGTATAAAATTTTCGGTAATAGTATATCCTTTTCGGAATTTAATTGATTTGTCAGTAAATAATTTTTTTGTCAATTATTTAATTCATTTTCATAATTAATTCTAAATTTTCAGATTTCCTATATTAAAACATAAATTATAACAATAAATGCTACCTTGCATATAGAATGTAAAAATATACATTCCTAATCTATTTATTTTTTAATATAATAAATTACATTAAAAGATTTAAACTATCTATTATAGATTAAATGAAATAAAATTATTCATTGTAAATTGTGACGACTCGAGAAGCATATAAAAATTTTAAATTACGAAAATAGACTAATTTAATATATTTATAATTAACGATGATATTAAGAATTAGAAAAAACTTTTTTAATGTTTTTCTATGTAAAATTTTTAAAGATAAATAATTTACCATTAAAACAAAAAAAAATATCGTTTTAATTATAGCGTAAAATGATATATAATTTCTTCCCCTATTATATTTTAGCGGCGTGTTTTATTTTTTCAACTCGGATATGTATTTTAACATATTTAGAATACCTATCTTATGAATTGTTGACACTTTTGCCCCGTAACCTTCGAATCATTTATTATATTAAAAAATCGATGGAACCTATATAAATTATATTAAGTTAAAAGGTTCACTGCAAAATTTCCCGAAATTTATAGGGTAAGCACTCCAAACATGGTGGAATTTATTTCCGGTAAAATTAGATTATTAAATTTTAAAATCAATAAATGCTTTAAAGTTAAATGCTCTATTATTAATATCTTACATAAACAAAAACTAAGTATTGGTTATTGGTTAAAAAAAGAAAGAAAGAAACACATGTATAAAAAAAATAACAAAACGCTATTTTAATTATTATAAGAATAAGTTTTGCCATCGGCTCAAAATAAGAAGCACAAATATTTTTTTGAAAAAAGATTAAACTGCAAATTCTTAAAATTTATTTATATATTCTATAATCGATTTTAGATTTTTTTTTCTCTAACCTTTTGATCCTACCTGCCTTAACCTAGTAAAATAGGTTGGTTCCAGAAATTTTTTTGTCTCTTGATGGCGAAGATTTTAAATTTTCTGAACATCAATTTAGGGCATAAAATGACCTCTATAACCAATTTTATTAAATGTATATTATAAAAAACATGATATTTTTTACTGTTTAAAAAATCGCCTTATTTTAATGATGAATTTAAAGCTAGCTTATCGGACCAAACTTGCCCCTCTATGTCAAAATGTGCGGCATTGATTGATTCTATGTGCGCTTACAACCTCAAAACTTTATCCGATGACGGTCATAAAGGCTTCGCGACTAGTCTGGAGGATAACGCGAAACAGAATCAACTCGTTTCTGATATACTAGTTTTTTTTAAATAAATTAGATTCCAAAATATTATATCAAGATTGGACATTAAGGAATCATTCTAACCTGCTATTTCTTCCTAAATGACTTTTTTGTTTCCTAAGCCTAGAATTAGATTATGCGAGATCTGTTCGGATTAATTTTTTTTTTTAAATTTGTTTCATAGAAAAAAATATTGGAAAAATATCCGTTTAACTTGTACTTCACTGATGCGAAATATTACCTATTTTTTGACTTTTATTATATCAGAAGTTTGCATTCTATATTTAAACTAATTCTTTTTTTTATCTATAGTTCGTATCACGCTTCTTTTTAAACGAAATGTTCGAAATAAGACACTGCTCCCTAACCATCTTGAACTCCTATCTTTCAACGAAACCTAATGTTGGCGTCGCTAATGTTGATAATAAGAGTTATGACAGAATTGAAATCGAATGGTTAATCCATATACTAACCCAACATCAAAAAACGCGATTGTATTGTCAATTGTGGATATTGAACTTCGATCGTCATCCAGAATGCAGTCATTTGGCCAAAAAGTTTAGTAATTACTATCGTTTTTATTAACGAAAAAGTTGTACATATGTATATAAATATAAGAGAAATAAATTAATGAATTTGTGTTAACTAAGCATTCCCATTTAGTTATATTATTTTTAAAACATTTTAAAAGGATATTATATGATTATCTCGATTTTCGATCTTGTTCTCCGAAGATAAAAGATCTTAAATTCTTAGACCTTCTGTTCGAAATAACCCTGGAGAACCTACATTCTTTGTACATTCAGGAAATATGTGCCAACGCCATAGCAAATTATCTTTGCAACATCGGCCAACCAAATGACACGGTTACAACGGACGGCGTTAAAAAAGACGCCATTGAAAGAAATACGAATCTAGGTAATTTAGATCTGGAAGTCGTGTGTAGCTTTTTGGATAAATTGATGGCTATCTACATCGATAACTATAAGGCAAAATACAATAATTTTTTTATTTATAGAATTTAGTATTTGTTAAAGATGAAAAAAAGTTTTTTTTTATCCTCCTCTTTTATTATGGTTAAGATGAAAAAGTTTTTAAATCCCCCTCTTTTGTTTATGTTAAAGATAAATAAAGTTTTTTTTAATACCCCTCCTTTGTTTACAATTAAATGAAAGTTATAAAAAAAGGTTTCTCTTTTTGGTCCTTTTTTTGTTTTAAGTTAAACACAGTGAAAATAAAACATGGCTTTTGTGTTTTCTCTCACTTTACTGGATTTCTTACTTTAGGAGTTCTCAGTAAGGTGATCCGAAAATATGAGTTAGACCGTTGGGTCCGGAAGACCACCCTGCATCCCAAGATATATTTTGAGTTTCGGGAAGTTTAGGGGGGTAGGTTTTATCCCCAATTATGTACGATAAAACTAACACAACTCGGTTCCACAAACGTTCTTTTTTTCACTTTGCGCCAATTTAATTAAATTATAATTGCGCCTTTTATTTTCCCTATAAAAGAGACGAATTTTTTATAGTTTAGATATACTTTATTTTTTCTATAAAATAATTTTGAAAATCTTTATTAATCTTTTTTATGTTTAAAATAATTTTGAAATTTTTATTAAGTTATTTTGTTAAACAACAAATTTCAATAATAAATTATTATGACTACGACCCACTCAAAATCATTTAAACGAAGTGTCTCAAAATTCTTCAGTATTTGTATTTTTTTATCTCCTTTGGTTTATGCTTACTAATTCGTTTATTTTGAGCATTTATTTTAAGCTATTTTAAAAATAAATATTTTTAAATGGTGAATCAAATAAAATCTAAATGATTCCAAACTCTTAGAGAAAAAAACGCGATATTTTTCTTAAAATTAAATTTGATTAATTACTTTTTTTTAGCTATAAAATGATTCAAATTATGTAAGATCATTTTAGAAAAAGTAATTCACCAAAAAAATAATAATTTTAAAAAAAAACTTTTCTCATATACATAAGAAGGGAAATTTTGAGCAGAAATTCAAAATCATCTCTCTGCCACCCCTCCCCCTTTCATAGCTACACCACCAAAAGTCGATACTTTGATATTCTGGAGAAGGTTTCAGGAATAAAATAAATATAAAGGTTTTAGGTCAGCTCACAGGTTAGGGAATTAAATTTTTATAAAAGGTTTGATTCAGGTTCACAAAACTTTAATAAAGACTCCTTAATTATTTAATTTTTTTTATACAGGGTGTTCATTAACTCGATAAATAATTGTAATCTTTTTGGATGGGGGGGGGGGGGGTAAGAACAACAAAACACGAGTTTAAAATGTTATGCCAACATTTTCAATTGTTTAATTTTTTATATGTTATGATTACAAACATATAGTTAAGATAGCATCCGAATATATCTAACTTATCTGTGATGATAGAATGTATAATCAATCCTAAAAATGCTCTTTCTACAGAAATCTGTGTTGATAGTATAGACGTGACTAGCTGATATTATATTATTCCGGTTTCTCTAATTTTTATCCTTCTCTATAAGCAAAAATATAGGTGTTTTTTTTATATTTTGTTCGTCCCTAATGGCGTTAAACCAATTTATAATGGTAGCTATTAATCATTCTTGTTTTCTATTATGTTTATATGACATATTTTAACTTTTTGTTATTTTATTCCATTTTGGCAATAAGAATTCAAAATCGTTGTCGGGGTCAGGATAATTATTTTGACTTGAACTAATTGGAAGGAAATGAATTGTCCTATCTTTATACTCTCATTCGAGTGCTTTTAAAATATATGCCAAATTTGTGCTTTTTTTCTAGTTATATTATTTTCTTCATCGGATGATAATATTTGATATTGAGGATCAAGATAAATACACATCGATTTCATCATTTTTGTTGCTTTATCTCTCTTGGTTTTCTAAATATATATATTTTAAAAAAAATAGAAATATTTGAAGGAAATCGAAATAAAAATCAGGATGAATAAATACGCCTCACAAGCTAACATGGACGACACTTGGAACATTCGATATAGTATCGTTTTGATTATAAATAATATAATCAAAGTCGTGTCTAACCTATGCCCACTTCGGAGCGTTGGGGCCTCAAAAATCGAGATTTTGTTCAAAATCTACGAATTCATGGTGGGTAGCCCGCTCAAGGATGAAAATATCTACGTTAAGCGTCTAGCCCTGAATGGTTGCATAGATTTGATAGAGTTTAATAGCCCCCCTCCATTGATCGGGGGAATAAAGAATGCCAATGGGGATGTGGAAGACTTTAAAATCGGAGCTTTTATGGAAGTTTTAATAATAATTTTGATATTTTAAATAAAGAATAACTTGTTTCATTTTCTATTTCTTTAATTAACTGTGTGCCTAACGAAGAATTGCCAGGTGTATTTTTAGCTGTCTAAACCTTTATTGCGAATTATTAAATTATTCATAAAAAAAGATCCGACCATTGTTCGACCGAACCTTGCAACTTACTGAAAATCATCTTTCCGAACTTCCGAATTCTGCATCCTTCGATGCTTTGCGGCAAACCCTGATTTTTCTCTTATCTATCCAATCTAATCAATTGTTATTCGATCAAGGATATGATATCGCGAATGACGACTTTAGACGTTATTTGAAAATTTTTAACACCCTCGTGGAAGCATTAAAAACGCCCTCTCAAAATGTATTTTTTTGTATTCGATAGCATTTATTTATTATTTTCCTAATTATCTAAATTAATTATTGAACATTTATTTAGAAATCTTTTTCGAGATAAAAGGGTGTATCAACAACTCTTTACTAAAGGCTGGGTAATCGGCTTAGTCAATCCTATTTTCTTTAATTAATGCTAGCCTGGGCTAATTTTTTTTGGTTAAGAAAGACTAAGCTTTAACCAATTTATTTTTTATTGCCAAGCCTGTCGATTCCCGATTTATTTATGTAAAGACTGAACTTAAGCTGATTTTGATTGGCTAAGGTTGAGCTTGAGCTGATTTTAATTGGCTAACGTTCTGCTTTACTGTAAAATTTATTATAATTTAATTCAGAAGGGTAACAATTGTTATCTTCGTCATTTTAAAACTTTTCCAATGTTTTTTAATGAAGTTAGGTAAAAATGTATTTTAAATCTTATTTTAGTGGAAATTGAATACAAATTTCTTATTCGTCATTATAAAACTTTTCAATAGGTAATAATTATATTTTAAATCTGTTTTAGTGGAAATTCAATATATAATTCAGAAGGGTGACAATTATCATATTCGACATTCTCTTTCTTAGCCGAAATAAATCAGTTTAGGTTTAACCTCAGCCAAAAAAAATTGGCTCAAGCAATCAGCTATTACCCAACTATACTCTTAAATTGATGAATTTGATAATTATCATCATGATCAAAGATTAACATAAACGTATCAGGGAGATATGATGTTTTTATATGTAGGGAGGGGGTAGGGGGTCATCTTTTTGATTTTGAAATGATATCTTACTAGAAAATGTTATATACATATTATATAATTTCTCAGGTTCAAGAGCGTGCTGCTGAGTGCATGAGTCAAATGATATCGAACGTGATTAATAAAAAACTGACTAGTGATGTTAATATTGAAGTGTTTAGGAAATTAGTTCTCGGGAAGTTTAAAGAATTCGAGAAAATACTCTTGGCAACGGAAGATGACAATAAGCCTTCTGCGAATGGTTTATATTATAATATATTTTATACATTAAATAATATTATTGGTAAAACCGAAGTTAAAATTTTGTTATAAATATTTTTAAAAAAATTTTTATATGCCCTTTGGTCTTTGAATGAAATTGACAGATTAAAATATTACTTTTAAACTATATGGCGCCATCCCACAATTCAGATTTTTTAGTAAATATTGGGGAGAGCTAATTACGCACTGAGATTTTTAATAAGATTGTGATTTATGAATATGAAGAAAATTAAATATTTGTTTTCAAAAACATAATAAATAAAATACTATATGTGTGTAAAATAATTTTTGTTTAACTGATTCAGATTTAAAAACTGGCACTAGTATTTCATTAGCCACTCGTAAAGGTAGCGCTTATGGTATGTCAGCAATCTTTAAAGGAGCCGAAGATTTTTCATTGGCTGTATTAGATACATCATGTGATCGTAGCGAGGATTTAGAGTTGGTGAACTATAGCACAAGCGCATTGAAAGCGTGTACTGAAAAAAAAGGGGCGAGGAAAAGGGAAGGTAAAAAATATAGAAAAATAAATGAATGAAAGAAAGGAATAAATAAATAAAATAAGAAAAAATGATTTATTTTATTATACCAAACAAAAGGCTGCCTTTTTCTGCTTCAATCCACTATTTCCATCCTTCACGAGTCTCATCCTTCTATCATGAACAAAATTATTTCCGCCATATTGCCCATTTTACTCATCGAAAGTTTTGGTGAAATATCCCATTACGTGAGATTAGCGGCCTTCGAATGTTTTGACGTTTTGACTCGAAGGGTTAACGTTACTGCCCTGACCAATCAGGTGCTTCCTACACTCGTGCAAGCTCTAGCCAGTCCCGCTTGGAGAACTCAAATCGGTATTTTTTTGGAATTTTATATAGTTTTCTCTATTCGGTTGAATTAGGATTGGATATGATTTAACAACTGATTGATTGCGATCTAAATTAAAACGATTTTAATAGCATTATGATTTCAATATTAATTACTTTAAAATATTTTCTCTGTGTGATTATTATTTAAAAGAAAGAAAAATACAATAATTAAATACTAGAAAAACGAAATGATAATTTTATGTATACTTATCGTTTTGGCATTTGGTGGAACGCAATACTTGCAATACATCAGCTGTTTAATATATGTATTCTGAATATAGCCTTACTATATTTATGGCCTCTTTTATATCATCAAATAAATTATCATTTAATTATCATTTTGAGTATCACATGTATCGGTCAAAATCTAAAATATCGACCGATATCGCTAACGGGAATATCGGCGCATCTTCGAAAATTATCTCGTTTTATGTTTTTATAAAATTTTAATCAAAAAAAATCAAAAGCTGCTATTCAAATGTTAAGTTCGACCGTTATATCTACTCCTACCAATTCAGCAAGTCAGGAAAGTAAACAAACTCTAAAACAAATTTTATAAATTGAGTTTTTTTTAAAAAATAATGTTACCTAGAGGAAAAGGAAATTTAATTTTAATAATTGCTATTAAAGTTAAGTGTATTATTGAAATATAGTTATATTTTTTTTTAAATAATGAATATGATTAACAACTTTTTATTTACCACTGAGCAAAAATTAAAGACCTTCAATAATGCTCGAAATCCATCCGTTTTTGCTGCATAGAAATTCGTCAGATAATCAATTCAACGAATTATTTTTTTTTGTCCTTATATAAAATACGAACAAAGCCGAAAATATGGAATCATGGAATACCGGCGAAACCTCAAATTTGCTGCCTATGGTGATGTCAGAGTTGGTCGAAAAATTATGCGATTCGCACGAAAAGATAAGAGAGGAGAGCAAAAAGGCCATTAGAAAAATCGCAGTTCACTCGAATGCGGATATTCAACAAGACAAAATCCCTAAAGATCAAGCAGCTCAAGAAGGTGAGGAAGTGACGAGTAAGACAAAAGAAAAGTTGGTCGATGATTTGATTGATGCCATGAGTCGACCGGACGTTAAAATGTTTTCTTGTCTCATAGGACTCATAGGTTTTTTAAATTATATTACTTAATTTTTAGAAAGAAAAAAAATATGTATTATGTAATTTTTTTAAAAAAATTATCTCCGTATCATATCACAGAATCGAAAATATTTACACGCCCACTGGATAGCGGCTGTTTAGCCCTTTTAATGCCGGTGCTTAAACGTGCCATAGCCGATAGAGCGAGTGAAATGAGGAGGGTGGCTTTAAAAGTTTTAACCCGAGTTTTGGAGATCACCAATGAAAAAGTTAGTTTTTTTCAAAGTATAAGGAAAAAGGAAGAATATCGTAGATGCCGGTTTAGAAATCCTTTCCCATTTTAGAATCAACCCGGGTTTAAAGGCCGGGGAAGGGAAGAAAAAATTAATTTATTTTAGTTTTTAATTGATTCATTGGGTTTGATAAGAGGCTTATTCAAAAAAGTAGAGCTAGACTAACCCGCGAATTTAAGAGTTCTCACTATCTAATGAAAGCAGTCGAGGTCGCCCAAAGGACCATTATGGGTCAGGCCGGATACTGGTCAATCCGGAAATTTGCAAGCAAATTTTTTTAAACTAAGAAATTAAGTAAATAAAACTTTTGTCTCTCTTTCCTTCTTAAAAAAATAATTATACCGGATCAACGTACAAAATTTATTTTACAAGCAGGAAAGAAAAACCCTGATTAAAAATTTCCCGACATAGAGAACAAACATTTTATAAATCATATAATCTTTTATTAAAAATTATCTTTTCCATAAAAAATATAGAGAAGAATAAAAAAATAATCTTATTAATAGATATTTCATAATAATCAATTAGCGTTAAATTGTAATTATATTTTAAAGGTTAAACCATCAGGACATAATATTTAAAACACCATTTACCATGAATTATATAATTCTATTCTATGAGTTAATCCCCTACATATCTATATTACTAAATACTTCTTATACCGTTTTAATATTAATTACTAATAAAGATTTATTATTTCTGTTTATCATCAATATTCATATATAATGATATTATTTTTATTTTAAAAAATAAGGAAATAAGACCCTACCTAAAAGACACCATAAAGAGTCTCAAGCTAACCTTGATCGATCCTTTGCCCGAGGTGAGAAACCAGGCTTCACAGGCCTTGTCTAACCTTATAGGCATTCTCATTGACGCAGCTAAAAATGAGAAAAAGGACAAAAACCAAGCCTTAATTAAGAGTAAAAATATGGGTGGAAAAGAAGAAGAAACGACAGCTAAATCACTGCAGAAAGAGTTATTGGATTGGTTGATGAAAACTTTGGTGTCAGAGGTCTCGAGCGTTAACAGATCCGGAGCCGCACAAGGTTTGTATAAATCAAAAAAACATTTTTGAAAAATAATATGTTTGTGGGAATAGATAAGATAGGGGTGTAACTAACAATCATTTGGGTAATTTTTTTTTTCACCATTTCACTAATTTTTTAAAAAAAAATTCTCATAATTTCTTATAAGGCCTTAGCGTCGTTATTCACCAGCTAGGCCTTGTAAAATTGAATGCCCTATCCAACGACATTATATCGACCCTGAAAAATAAATCTTTGCCTGCCCACGTTAAGGACGGATACCTCATGCTATTCCTTTACTTACCGACTACTTTCGGCGACGCCTTCGTGCCTTACATAGATAGGATAGTGCCTCCACTCTTAATGGTTTGCCTTATTTATTTATTTTTCAATTGTAATTTTCCCTTTTAAAAATTAGTTTTGCGATTTAGCCCATTATTTGAAAAATCATATATAGTTAAAGTTCAATAACTAACCTTCAATATAGTGAAAAGTATCAGACCGATGATCTGACGGGACCGGACCGATTTAAAAAATGATCTCCGGTTTGGTCTTTTCAATCGATTGTTAAAAAATTTTGAACGTTAAATATTTTAATTTGAAATGAGATTTCTACTCTTTTTTTATATTGAATTATAAATAGTTTTTGCAATTATATTTTATAAAAAAAAATATTTAAATTAAATATATTTATTTGTTATATTTAAATAGAATGATGATATGATATAATTAATGGTCTTATATTTTTCATTATATTTTTTTTTCAAAATAAAATTTAAATGGCTTAAATATTAATAATAATGACCACTTTTCCTTATATTCCTGATCATTTGCTCTGCTATTTTAAATATACAAAATATACTATATTGATCAAAACGTAATCTACAAGTCCGTGTCTTAATGATGGTGGATAGGGGGGGGGGGGGGGTCGAATGCAAAAAAATAAGATAAGGTTTTTTTTTAACAAAAGAACATTTTTTTTTAAAAAAAAGCATCAAAATATTAAAATTAAAAAACTAAAGTCATACTTAATTCCTGATTTTTTAGTCCCATGTCTAAATGAGGTTTTGCAAGACTAATAAAATCGGTCCTGTCCAATTTTTGGTTCGGTTTTTATCTTCACTCCTCCAATAGAAAAGGGATGGTTATTAACATTTCCCTCTTAAAAATTTTTTCGACAAATCGATATATAATAGAAACGATTGCCAAAATAATCGAATTTCATTCCTATGTTGGTTTCCAGGTTTACCCTAGTAAGCGCCATTTTTTACGGGCCTGTTTAGATCCATTTTTCTCATGGGTTTTCCATATAGTGTCGTTTATGAACATTTTAGGTCGTTTTGAAATGTGGTTCCACCTGGTTCCCCATCTTTCAGTTTGTCGTAGACCAGTGAGAAGGCTCGCAGGATACTCTGAGCTATAACCCGCGTATATTTGGTTTTAATCATTAAGAATTTTGGGTCTTTTACAGTCGGATGGGCTTCCTGACATAAACCACTCCATATTTTTTACACCCCGTAGTTGATACGGTAATTATATTCTAATCCTAGACCACCAAACTCATTTAAACTTTCATTAGTCATCCAGGAGTTGAGGCTGAAGTTAGAATTTTGGGGATGATTTCTTTCACTTTACCATTATCTTCCTAGTTAAGCACTTTTATATATTCGAGCCTTTTCTTTAAAAAATATTTTTATCTTCTTGCAGGGATTGTCGGACGAGTCGGAATACGTGAGAGAAACTGCGATTAAAGCGGGAAAAGGAATTATAAATACTTATTCGATTGAAGTCATTTCCACCTCTTTCTTGCCCCAAATACAGAACGGGATATTGAATGCGCCGCACACGGGAGAAATTAGGTAATAATATTTTAAAAACAAAACAATGATAAAAGGAAAGAATTGGAGCAAGGAATTAGTAATGGAGAAAAGGAATCTTTTCTAATTATCTCCTGGGTTCCGGCTTAATGATATATGTGAAGTTTAGCAAAAGTAAAGAGGGTATATTTTGATAACATGGTAAGTCTTTTATTCTAGACCAATCTCATTATTTAGGGAGAATTGATAAAAAAAAAAAATTAACGGGAAATGGATACAAAGAATGCATTAATAAATTTTACAAAAAAAATAAAAAATTGTGCTTTCATGGCCCTTTCTCAAATATGTTATATGTACGGCGCACACTTTTCCATTTACAGGCCTGTTAAAATATATAAAAAAATATTAGTTATTTTGTAGTCCGGCCCAATATGGTCCGGCTTTTGAAATTCTTAAATTTAAAGCCCGGCCAGAGAGTGTGGGCTTATAAAAAATGATTATAATTTCAAATTCTATACAATACTGCCAAAATAAACAGTGGTGAAATAGAGGAAAAATTCGTTGAGACTTCCAGCAATTGGAGAATACGTTACAGTTGCGTTCAGTTGATAGGAGAACTCGTGTTCAAGATATTGGGTATAATAGAACATTTTATAATCTTACGTTTTTTCCCTTTATTATTTACCTTTTAGAGATAAGATGGTTTCTCATTTTTTTTGTATATCTCTACTTTATAAACTACTTATTTGATTTAATTATAAAACCGAAAGATAAGTAGAGATTGCACTTTTAAACAATATTCTTCTTATGCGTTATATGGCAATTTCCGGATTTATCTGGTTAGGTCAGTTTTCCCTCTGATTTTCATTCTCCATTTTTGACGATTACATTTTATAATTATTTCAGGGATCACGGGCAAAATGACGACCTTTAGCGCTGACAGTGACGATACGTTTGCTTCAGAGAATACTTACGAGGTTTATTTCATGTTATTTTTTGTTTTAAATTTGATAACACAAATCGAACTTCCATATCTGGCCACCTCTAATTTTTAACCTCACCATTCTAAAATCCTATTAACAAATTTCTTACATATATTTAATATTATTTTATATTTTAAAAATAATTCTCAAAAACTGTACGTGCTTTGATATTTTGAACATTATCCATCGCTCAATTCAGTTTGAACATATAATACTAATATAAATAAACCTTGTTATTTTTTCAAAAAGGAGTTATTTGCATGACCTTTTTATTACAATTTTTTATGTGAATGTGGTTTTTTAAACTTTCTGAGCTCGTTTTTTTAAATTCAGAAATCTGATTTTGCCGAAAATTTCCGACATGTTTAGAATACCTGTCTTATAAATTGTGGGCGAATATGTCGTTGACCTTTGAGTCATTTTTAATTTATATAAGAACTTTACGGAAAAACTAATCAATTATATTAAGTTCAAAAGTTCATCGCAAGATTGTCTGAAATTCATAACTTGATGGAATTTTTTAAATTTATAATAACGCGTTTAAAAAATGATATTGAAAAAATAACAAATTGTCGCTAACATATATAAAACAGACCATTATAACATATAATAATATTGAAGGACAATATTAGTATTCATCTGCGATATCATTTAAAACATGAATGTGCATTTAAACTACCCTAATATTCCCACATTTGAATTTTATAATTAGGAAAACATTTAATCTTGGAAAAACATAATTAGATATTATCAGAAACCTTGGGAGAAGACAGATTTCAATCTATCCTAGCAGGCCTTTACCTTTGCGCCAATGATAATAGGCAAGAGATCGCCTCTTATTCGCTTCACATTTGGAAAATAGCTGTCCATAACACGGTGAGGGTGCTTAAGCATCTCGTTAGTAAAATAGTGCCCGCCATTTTGGACCATCTTACACGGGCCGTTATAACGGGGGATAACGAAGCCATAACGGTAAAAAATAAAATCGAAAAATAAAGGGAAAAATTTAATAACTTTTTTTTAAATTACGCGTATTAGATGTCAGGTAACACCCTGGGCACAATAGTCCGAAAACTGGAAGGTATTCTGCCAGAACTCCTTGGTATACTTAAATCCCACTTTGATGCTTCCACCGCTAAAAATAGCCGATACCGCGACGATTCCCAAACAGCCATTATTGACGATCTTTACCAGGATGACGTAAAAGGCGGGAAAGACAAAATAAGAAATGGTCTCGATAAGGATGATGAATGGGAAAGTGTTGAGTCCGAGGAGGAAAGTTCAGATTCTAAAAATTGCGATTATGCTCGGAGAGGCGTGTGTCTGGCACTCAAATACGTTATGCAATACAGCTCTAGAGATATAGTTAATAATTTTTTAGGCCACATTTTAAAAATGCCATTTTTAGCCATATTTGAATTATTTGATAGGATACATTTTCAACGCATATATTTTTTTATTTATTTTTGGAAAAAAAAATAAGATTATGTTGTATTGCCACCCCATCGACCAAATAATAATTACTTGCTTGAAAGACCCGGACGAAGAATTGAGATCGGTGGCGTTGAAACTTTTCGACAAGTATCATCAGCTGGGCGGCCAGAAAGTGTTGGACAATATTATACCGGCCTTGATCAAGGAATTGGTTTGTGTGATTTTGTGATAATTAGGGGGAGAGGTAAGGAAAAGGATAAAAAGAAAAAAAAGGGTATGCAAAAGAATTTTAAAAAGAATAAAATTGTATTCTTTATATAATCGATAATTATATTTTAAACAGGATAAATTCGAAACGCACGAGAACGACGATTCCTACGTTTTGGAAGGATTGAAAGAAATGATGGACATCAAAAGCCGTGCTTTGCTACCATATATAATACCTAAAGTCTTACTTTAACATAATATATTAGCGCAATAAATCCGCATAAACATTTATTATCAAATTTACAACAAAAATTTATCTAATAAAAAGGCTAAGAGAAGTATTAATTATTGTATTCTTCTTTCTCCTGCAAATATGATTAGCTTATAAATTTTCTTGTAAAATTATCAGAGACCTACAGAGTAGATTTTTTTTTAGCTCAGATTTTATTTTTTTTAGGCCCGGCCCTGATATTTAAAAAAAAGGCTCGGCGTAGGTTTATTTAAAAAAATTGGGTCTTGCAGGTCACTTGAAGATTATATTTTTGCTCTTGATTATTCTCGATTCGTATTAAATTGTCCAAAAATTTTAAGAATTAAAATATTTTTTCACCTTTTTTAATTTATCTCTAGTTAGAGTCGAATGATCATAAATTCGGCAAAAACACCCATTATCTTTACCAGCTTATTTCGTTCAGTAGCGAAGGAACGTTGGATAGATATTCCGAACAAATTCTCAAGAAGATTTTGCGGGCCTTGATCAATTTGGCGCCAAACCTAGATTTTTCAGGATTTTTGGCCGGAAAATACGGAAAGATGGATGAGGACGACGAGGAAGAAGAAACCGAAAGTATTGATCAGGGATCAGGAAAAAATATTTCTGGTGAACATACGAAGAAAGTTGGCGAAAGTATTGCAGAGGAGGGCATCTTGAAGGAACGTATGATATCCGAAGTACTTATCATTTCCTAGCTCATATTTATTTTATATTATTCAGTAATCGTTAAAAGCTCTAATTTATCAATTTAATACCTTAAATGCACGGATATTTTTTTTTTATTTTTCCAAAAGATGCTAGTCACCTTCCGAGAAATCTTGAGTTTATTCGAGTCCCAAAACAGTCTTAATTACTTATTCGAAAAAATTATCTTTCCGGCCCTCAAATCGGTCGATCTTTCATCTCCTTACATGTTGTCTCAACAATCATCTATTGATAATGACACAAGGAAAGATGTTAAAATTGACGCGAAGTCCCCAAATCATGATCTTGAAATAAAAAAATCTTTCGAAAACGATAACGCTTTAGCCGGATTACTCATTTTGCACCTGTTTCTAGAAGGAGCGGAAAACGACGAAAGTGGTAGTGATCAAGAGGACGAAAACGCCGAACAGAACTCGGCGTCGTCGTTCATGGACCCATCTTTATATGGATTCCGGCTTAATACCTTCAAAAATATTTTGCAACTTTACAAATGCTTTGATGGTAGAATAGTGCAAATGGCTACGGCATTGCTAGATATGATATTCAAGGTTCGACTAATGAACCTTTAATATAATTTATGCATTGTTTCCGTCTTCATATTCTTTCATTAAATTTTTGTAAAAGTCAACCAATAAAATAATTGTCAACATAACACAATTTTTAAAGAAAATTATTCATTTTTTAAATCGCTTTTGGTTCTTCAACCTATTAAAAATAATGTATACTTATTTTATCATTAATATTTAAATGTTCAAGCAGACATATATATATTGCGTTTTTTTATTTTAGAGAATTCGAAAATTTGTTTGTTATATTTAGGAGCTTTATCTTGGGAGTTCATTCATTTTTCAATTAATTTTAAATAGAATTTGAAAGCGAACGAAGACTCCTCTCAAGGTGCCTTGCAATCCAAATCTAACCCTTCCAAAAATATTAACCCATCAAAATCCGACTCGGAATCAAATTCCGAAGCCGAAGAAGCCGGGGCCGGTGATTACGATTCCGACGATGGAACCGAGAGTGAAATCGACCATAGGGACATAGTGACTCAGGACCAAGTCAACGAAGCCTTCAGAGAGTTACTCGTGGCTTGTAAAAACTTTTTCAGGAGCTTCGTCTCCGCCAATTTCTCGACTTTCAACCACAATAACTATACCTACCTCGGGTATTTATTTATCTCTCTATTGTTTAGAATAGATATAGCTTTCTCGAAAACCTCGAATTCGCCGATTTGTAAAAAATGGCTAAATCGATTTTTGCCAAAAAAAAAATACTACTCAAATCTCGAAATTTCCCCTATAGATGGCAAAAAAAATTTTTCAAATCTTGATGCTTATAGTTAATACATTTTTGCAAAATCGAAGTTTTCGACAATAAATTTTGTCAGATTATTCTTTTTTTTTAACAGCTCCAGATTAAGTTGACAATTAATGTGTCCATTTAATATTAAATATTTATGGGGAAGAAAAAACACAATTTTGCAAAAGTCTCTTGTGGAAATAAATTTTTTAATTTATTTTATAGTTCAGAATTTCGTTACGAAATACCCAGTATGCCAGGGCTGAACGTAGCTTATAATCAGACATTTAATCGTAATAATCCCATCTCGCCTTTCCTCTATTTGACTGTCGAAAAGGGAATTTTATGCAAAGTTTTATATATAATTTTCTTTATATTATTACATAATTATAAGCTAAAAACGTATTAAATATTATTATCTTTTGAACTTATTGTTTTTTTTTAAAAAAAAATCCATTTATATTCATATTTACTTCTCTTTTTTCAAAATAAAAAAGTTCAAAGATTACATCAAATTAGATATGAAAATGAAAGAAAGTTTAAATCATTATTCATTTTTAGGAATGTTCCGACATAGCTTACAAAGAAGTCGCTTGCCAGGCCTTGGCAGAACTCGTGAAAATAGCGCCATCTAACGTACTCGAACCTATTGTTCTGAAAATAATGGGGCCTATTCTGAGATTGCTCACCCAAAGATACGATTTAGGATTCAAATCTCAACTTATGAGCGTTTGCTCTTTACTTCTGTTTAAGGTTCACTTTTTTAAAAAATAAATATATTGAACGTGTGTTTTAGCACAGTGAAAGCTGGGTCGAGCCCTAAACGCTCTTATTTATCTGATCAAAATTTTTATAATCAATTGTTGTTAAGAATGAATTTTAAAAAAATGATTACAAAAAGAACTTATAATTTATTATTATTATCTATATGGGGGGGGGGGGGGATATAATATTTAGTTTATTTTTTTAAGTAATGTAACGCGTTGCTACTTTTTTTGAACCTAACGAGTAACGCAATTTTTTAGAAGTGACGTTTACAGCACTAATTATTAATGATTAAAATAACGATTCAAAAAAAGAAATTTGATGTAAATTGCGTTTTTTTTTTACTTATACAAAATTTACAATATAATATAGTTGTATCAAGCTAATATCAAGACAAAGTATTTTAAGTTACTTTATTTTTAAAAAAAATATTTTCTAGGGGTTAGGTACGGGGTTTGGTTACCTTGAAATTCAGATTTTGACAGAATTTGTTTTTAAATGCCTGATAATCAATAATTATGTCATTTTCTTCCGAAAATAAATTTATATATTAACCTTAAAATAATTTTATGAAAAATGATTTAATTCCTTCCCCCTTATTTATCTGCAATAAAAAAATATTTATATCATTTTAATACTTAGGCCGTGTCCTAGGTCGGTTTAATTATACTTAATTGCTTTTTAGTATAGGATAAAAAGTATTTGATCGAGGACACCCTATTTTGGTTTATTTTAAGTATTTGTTGGCATTGCTATTTTTCGTATTTTATTCCCATTTTTTTTTGTTTTTGGTTATGTTTTTTTTGTCTTTTATTCTTTGTTTTTTTCGTTTTTTTTTAAAAAATTTTTCTTTTGCATTTTTAGCTATTTAGCCTATACTCAAAAGACGGCTAAATTAAGTATTAGGCCGAATTAGGACACAGCCTTTATATATTTTTTTTCTCTATTCCACTAAACACGTTTACCAATCCAAATTTTTATGAATATAGCATTTATTATATATAACCATTTAATTTTGACCCATCCCCCCCCCCTCTACCAACCTCATCTCCGTTAAATTTATAGAATAACAGCTCGCTGAAATTTTTTGCGCCTCAATTACAAGCTACCTTCTTAAAAGTCTTGAAGGAATCGTCAGTTTTCAATATGTCAGACAATGAACATAGTTAAATTTAAAATAGATTTTTTAATTAAATTTTTTATTTTTATCGGCACTCTATTTCTCGTGGATAAATTTAAATATATTGTGTTAAGAGTTCAAAAAATTAATTAACGTGGATGTCGAAGTATCGATGTCTCCACGAGACATCATATTTGGGCCTAGATTGATTAGAGCAATACTTCTATTGTCATAAATAATATTTGTTTTGTTTATTAGAATCATCAATATCCGACGACGAATTTAATCTGAAGATTCAGGCCGCAAGGGGTCTGTCCCACCTTATGCCCGTCCACTCAAAACCTTTTAATGTTACAAACGAAATTTTCAAAGCCCTGAACAAAGAGACCGACAAATCCAACAACATTATTATTAATGGGATTGATGAGATGAATGAAGACGAAACGGGTTCTAACGATCACGTTACCCCCGAATACCGAATTATCCAGGAGAAGTATATATATTACAATATTTTTTTCTAATTTCACTTATTTATTATTCAACTTTAATCGTTAATATTTAATAAAATTATTAATAATTGAAAATCATTTTACTTATGAACAAAATAAAATTTAATTCTCAATTCGAAAATTATCTTTAAATAATTTTGCACTTTGGTATTACAACCAAATTTAAAAAAAACGCCTATCTATATTATATAAGTATACTATTTCCTTATCGCAGCTTCGCGGAATTTTAATAAAAATTATCACCAAAAGAATACTTTCAAAACATAGAAAAGTGCATTCAATTTGAGAGAATGAAGGGGGGGGGGGAGGTGTAAGAATAAAGAAAGGTCAAATAATTTATTTGACATTTTATTTAAACCCCGTGTTCGCAGTTAGTGCCATTTGATGGCGAGGTAAACAAAATATGATATAAATACAAATTTTACATCACTTTTTGTATATTTCGCTGCGAATTCGCACTAACTGAGGATGCAAAAATCGTCATTCTTTCTTTTTTTTATAACCTATTATTTTATCATTCTATACATATCCAATGCCTTTATTTTATATTTAGCCTGATCTATTTTTATTACACTGGAAATGTATCTTATATAAAGATTTTTTTATCAGGATCTGGTTTTTAATATAAAAAAAATCTCTTAATTTATTATTATTTTTAAATAGAAAAATCTTGCTTTATGCTCTGAGAGTCATTCTTTCTGGCTGTTGCTCTAATCCATCTTTCATTGCGAACATCCACGAAAGCGAAACGATCCTTAACTTAAAAGGTTTGATAGAGACGGTCACCAACATAGAACAAAAATCGCTTGAAACAGAGTGCGGAGAATGGTTGAGGCAAGACGACGAGAACGTGCGATTGTTATTTGGTTGCGTAGGAGCTATGGCGGCTTTTATAAGTGCAAAAGATTTTGTAAAAATTTGCGAGGATTATGTGCTCAGTAAACAAAAATATATAATAATATCGATTCACAGAATAATACTGGATTAATTTTAAGAATAAATTAGAATTAATTTATTAAGGTCGCTTAAAAAAATTATAAAAATCTATCATCATTTATCTGCTCTTTTTTTGTGGTCATCTACTGTAGTATATTTTTTTTCTTTCTCCATTCTTGGAGGATACCTGAGATTTTATAAATACTCCACCAACACGACTTAGCTTGCGTTGAGGTCTAAGGGCGGCCATAGATAGGATTTTTAAGTGGCGAAAGTATTTCTGTGAGGTGGTTGATTGTGTATTCCTTACACATATGCGGATGTGTTATATCTTTAAGAAAAAACTATTAAAATTTTCTGAGTGATAATATTTAAAAAATAAAAAATTATTGTTTGTATTTTTTTATTTGTTTTCGAAATATTTTATCCTTTTAGATGAAGAAATTATAAAGAATCAAAACTTAGATTTGATATCTTGGGATACGACCTTATATGTGATGGCCAAAAAATGTCCGAATCGTTTGATTTCTTTCAAGAATTTGCCGAATTTTCAACTTTGGAACAGATTGCTGGATACAATATCATATTATATTCAACCAGAAAATAAAGTTTTTTTTTGTTAATAATTAATTTTACGTAAAAGAAAATAGGCATCAATTTTTTTTAAAACAGTATATTAAGATTATTAATCTTTGACCACTCATTTGAGGTGATTTAGTCGTATTATTATCTAATAAAAATATTGAATTACATGTATGATAAATATTTTTTGCGCTTGATCCATTGCTGCCATAGGGGAGCCTGGAAATCATAGGTCTTTGAATATCGATTATATTCTTTATTGATTGTAAAATCGCAGAATCCATAAAGAGTATAATAGTTATTCAAACCTTATAATAGGGGGTTATAATAGAACTTTTATAAAACACCAAGTATCAACAATTCTTAAAGTAAATAAGTAACTCATTTAAAATGATAACTCATTACTAGTGCGAATTGGATTTAAAATAATTACAATGCCAAACTAAAATGCAATAACCCCTTAGAATATCAGACACGATCACGGCCATAAAAAAAATGAGAGTTATCTTGATTTTGATTATATATTTGGACACATTTGCGTCTATCAAAAGGATACTTTAAAAAAAACATTTTTTTAGTATAATTTAGTTTATAATAAACTTTTTAGAGTATTTTTGCAAACGAAACCATTTTCATTCTCATTATTTGTAAATTTCCCTCAATCGAAAAATATACCTAGAAATACTCCCAAAAAGTATTCAAACTTGTTAATCCGTTGTTCAGCACAAAAATATTAGAGCTGACAAATGGCTAAATCTCCACCAATGATATACAAGCCTTAATTTGAAAGGAATAATATAAAAGCTAAAAAAATTAAATAATCTTTTATGGAATTTTTATCTTTTGGCGATTGTTTTAAAATGATAGGTCATTGATGTCAGAGGAGTAATCCTTAAAAAGATAATTTATGTTAGTAGCTCAAAGCGGGATCATTGGACAATAATCTCATTAATTTCGATTTGGCTTTAGCATAGTAATGGGCTAAACAAAACTATTTAAATCGATGAAAATATTAAAACACGGTTACAGTAAAAAAAAAAGTGACTTTTCACAAGCTGTTACTTTATCAATGATCATAGATTAAATTTATATATATATACAAAGCAAAAATGCCTGTTCAGAAAAATTATATCAATCGGGCTCGTTCCTTTTAGCTATTTTATATAAAAAGGTTTGATTATAAATCAGAAAAAAAGGTTAGCTCTGGGCTTATCCCAATGTATTTTAATTGTATTTTTTTTTACCTCCATAACTTTCTAAATTATATTTTGTTTAATAATTTAATATACAGATAAACTACGGATTATCAGCTGTTAGATGCCTAGCTTACTTGATAATGTTTAGACTTGTCAGCGGCTTATTTAAGGATTCAAAATCTTCCTCTCAAGAAAGTCTTATGGAACCCGAGATCTTAGAACTATTTTTTAAGGTAATATAAATGTTTCTTTATATTTTTTTAGGAATCACGATTTTTAAGATAATATATTAAGTTTCTTGAATGAAAGAAAGAAAGAAAAATATGGGTGATGGTATATAAATTAAACATTTTATAACAAAATTATTGAAGGAGAGGGGGGGGAATATGTCCCTCCATATTTTACAATAATAAGTTTAATTCATAAATCTAGCCTAAGGTGATATAGGAGAGATTAAAAATGTTTTATAATGGGTTTAATTGATTTATTTTTAGAAAAATTTATTTAAATTGTTTAATTATTTGATTAATAAATATTGTCAGATTAGTATTTTATTTATTTTGACACTTTATCGATTGTACAGACTTATAATCAACGATGTCATTACTTCTTAAAAGATGCCAATTTTTTTAATAAATTTATCAAAGAGTCACTTGGCGCTGCGGAGCACATTTTTGCCTTACTCCCATGACTCAGGAACTGATGCACTCAAACCGGACTACGGTTTTTAATTGACCTAGATTATGGTCCCAGATTTTTTGTTATTTTAAAAATATTTTCATTTTTATTTAATTTAATTCTTATTTATTGGGACTATATAAGTAAAATGCTTCTTTGAAAAACTTATCTTTTTCATTTTGCAAAATAAAAATGAACTGAAAATTCACAAAAACTAAAATAACTCCTCTAGAAAAATAAAATAAAATATACAAAAAAAAATAGGTAAAAAATTATGTTAATTGAATAATAAAGCGAACCTAAATATTAATAAAAGACCAACCACGGTCCGGACTGCAAAAAAATAAAAAAGATCGGTTAGGGCTGTGGTACCTTAAAAGATCGGTTTAGTTCCGGTCTAAGACCGATAGGACAGGATATTGACCTTCACTAATGTTTATGATACTATTTATATCATAATTCAAGACAATCTTACACAAGTCCTTGGAGGTCAAGAATTTCGTGGTTAACGTGATACACTACCTAGATCAAACCTTTAAAAATATATCTGTCAATCTAAATGTCAACCATCTTGCCATTATCACTGAGAATAATGCCAATCAATTTAGTCAAACTTGCCTTAATATATTGCTCAAAGCTTGCAACGATGGCAATTCAACCTTAAGGAACCAAGCCGAAAATGTTGCCATAAAATTTTTGGGGTTACCGGATGGCTATAGTTTGGAAAGATTACAAGTTTTCGATTTTTTTTAAAAAATTCTCTAAAAATACAATAATATCACTGATTTCAATTTATTTAATCATGGACAAAAATTTATTTTTTGGGTCTTTAATATATTTTTTTTAAATCTTTTTTTGATACGATATAATTATATATAGTCCTTTAATAATATTAATATCATGTTGTTTTTAATCCCTCTTTCTTAACAGATATTTAATCGACGATATAGCCGTTAAATATTAATTTTTTAACAACTTGGATTTTATTATTAGCAAATTATTATTTTTAACAGACTATCTATAATACCGGTTCCAATCCTAATGAAAATGCGAAATCCATGGACGATTGTAAAATCCTGATCGAAAAAACGCTACTCAAAAAGATTTCCAACAAGAAAAACGTTCAAATTAAATTCATCGTTAAATCCAACCCCGATTTTTTGCCCGAGTACGATCAATTGGATGAATCTATTTTAACGATATAAAGATATGTGATATGCACAAATTATTGCCATTATTTATATGATATTATCGTAAAATGTATTATTTTTTTTATTGAATAAATAATATGATTGTGTATTTTTTTTGGTAATAGGAAAAAAAACCCCGGGGAAAAAAATTTTTAAAAAAAGAAAATCGTTATTTTTTTTAAAAAAAATTTTGTCAATTTTTCTTAAATTTTCTTCCAATTTTTGCTTTAAGTCATTGTTAATCTTTATTTTTCTAACCTTTTCTCAATTTTTTGCAATAATTAATATTGAATAATTTTATAAGCGAATGCCGCAATCATTAACAGCTATTAGACTCCAAAAGAAACACAAAATATTTGCGAAAAAATATTAGAAATAATAAAGTCTAAATGTCAAGAACGGGATTTATTTCCTGATCCATTATATATACACATGGATTTCGAAAAGTCTGCTATGAGCGCGGTTAAAACTGTCATTGGTATGATTATTAATATGTTAAATTATTTATATTTATTTTTTCAATTAGGAGATCAAATCATAAGAGGATGCTTTTACCATTTGGTCAAGGTACCCATAGAAAAATTTAAAGCTAGTTCTAGAAAGCCAATATAGAATCGATGAAGCTTTAAGCTTCTTTTGTGGCATGATGGACAGCTTAGCATTTGTTCCTTTAAGTGATATGGGCAATGCAATGGCATTCCTTAGATCGGTTACTCCGAACAATGGTAAGGATAGTCTTTAATATTTCGATAAAAATTACATCAATGGAGTATCAAGGGAGGTCACAAGAAGCAATTCTCAATCCCAGACAGGTCGAATTGGGCCTCGATTTCCTCGAGAAACTTGAATCAGAGCACTCTATCTAACTAATAACTCAAATAATCAATGCGAAGGTTCGAATCATCGTTTTTCTAATCTGGTTGGGAATAAACACCCATCAATCTGGGTATTGATTTTAAAAAATGAAATGCGAGGTGGCTGCCGATGAAACCAAACTTGAACGATGGCGTATAGGTAGTTAGACATTGAAAACAAAATCGCAGTGTTTAAACAAGAAAAAATGCTGATATTCAAATTGGTACTAGGAAAACAAATATCCCAGTAAAATAACCCATGTATTACTTATTTTCGTAAAAATTTTTCCTATAGTAATAAATACAATATCCATTCTTAATTACTATATTAAGTAGACTAAATTTGACAAAATTTGCAATAAGATTTGTTTATTTTATTGATAAATCATTATTATGTATATAATTTATTAAATTATATTTTTATAATATTTTTTTCTAAAATGCTAATTTGTCTATACCTTATATAAATCCAAATAAAAATATACCGATATTATTAGATCTTAAGTAAATTCGAAAAAAAATTTCGGGGTTTTTTTCCGGGATTCATTTTTTTTCTATCATCTTCACCTAGTAAATAAAAAAGAAAATATTCTTAATTGGAGTTGACGTATGTAAGGTTTAAAAAAAGTCGAGTAACAGAGCGTTTATATTTTTATGTTTCTTTTTTAATATTCAATTATTTATATTGCATAAATTATAAATTCGAAGTTCTCAGTTTAATCTTAATAGTAAGGAAGTTAATAAAATGTCTGATCTTGTATAATATTAAAAGTCTTAAGAAATAACATTTAGTACTATCTTCCTGATTTCAATTGTAATTAATTTTTAAAAAAATTCAGCCTAAAAGGTCCAATCCGATTTCTTTTTTATTTGTTTTTTGGCCTGAGTGTCTACATAACCCTGCGTTCAGAGTTAACGAGAATTCGCTCTAACTGTGAAACCAAGGTAACATATTGCATTGCTAAGATAATTCTCTAACTTACGAAAAAAAGGTATATGTCTTACATTGGCGTACGCAGCGAGGTGGTGGGGGGGGGGGGACAAGGGGACAAATCCCCCCCCCAAAGCCAAAAAATGCAGATGCCGGATATATTTTTCAAAAATATTATTGTTTATATTAATTTATATTTGTTGATATTTATTCGTATCTCATATTAAATATATATTCATTCATAAGTTATTTTATCAATTAATTTCGATTTCAAGTTTTCCGGCGTAATATTTACTTATTATTTTCAAATTTTTGGTGGCGTAATATTTATCTACCATTTTCAAATTTCTAGTCAAATAATAATTATTTCTGAAACTTCTGGTCCAACAGGGAAAAAGAAATTGCAACCTTGTCCAACGAGATAGAGCCTCTTCCATCAAGCACTAATAGCTATTAAGGAGTTAGAGGAGCCAATTATTTGCTATCTGAAATATTACAATGGCCTGAAAGAAATTGTCACGCTAGAGAGGAGTGAATGCTTAGGAAATTAAATCGGCAGTGACAAACGTAGAATCCTTCGTTGGGGCCACCTTTAATCGATATCCTTTTTTTTTGTCTATGGTTTCGATAAAATTAAGGGCCTCATTTCTGAACATGCCTAAGGTGTTGGTATTAGAAGAAAATATTCAAGCTACAAAGTAGGCAAATGATGCATTAGGCAGAATTGTACTTTTTTTTTCTTATGCCTTGATTTTAAATTTCTTCGTTAAAATATGATACAAAAAAATCATCATTCTTTGAATGGCAGCTGTGGCTCATGTTAGAGACCTGTTTATACGAAGCTGTATCGCAGGTTCGATATCCGGTTAAGAAGAGGTTTCTCTTTCTGAAACTAACCTCCTCTAGCAGATAGGTAGGAAAGAAGATGGTAAGGTTAAAATGTTTGAGAGTTTGGTTAGAGTTTAGTTAATAGTTTAATAAATTGATCATTTAGTAAGTTGTTATAAGATGTCATAGATTTTATATATCTTCACCCATATCAGAGATGTTTTAAAAAAGAATGAAGTAAAATGAAGGCCGATGTAAGTACAATTATGTATTATGCCTTTGAGATGTATTTCATACATCTCAAATTTCTAGAAAACATTTATATAATATTATAAGAAACCCCAAATCTTAATAATGTTCATACTTAAAATATAAAATAGGGCATAAATTTTTTCCGAAAATGATTTTAGATCAGATTCCTTTGATGGCCTTGCCATATAAAACATCAGGCGCGTACGCAGGAATTTGGTCGGGGGGGGGGGGGGGGGATAATAAATTTTTTTAAGAAATATTATTGTTTTTTAAAAATATCGAGCATAAATTTATTAGGACTAATAACTATTCCTAATACACAATTTTAAATTAATGTGAATTATAAAAAATTTATATGTAAAGAATCACTTAAATGACCCAAAATAGAAATTTGAGTTTTTTGAGCCTTTACACAAAAAGTTTCTTAGGAATAATTGTATTTTGTATGTTATATGTTTACAATGTAAAATCCAATCTTCGTTGGAATTGAGCTAATTTTTCAATTATCTCATCCTTGCTTGTCGTCAAATGCCTATGAATATTCAAAAAATCCAAACCTTTCAATCTACTTTCACATGTTGTACTTCTTGGTATGTTTTTCAGAGACCTGCAGACCCGGCTCCTGGGCCGGACAATATTTTAATTTTTTTAATTATACCAAGGCCGGGCCCAAAATTTTTTTTAAAAAACATCCGGGCCGGACCTAAATTTTTTTAAAAAAACACCCAAGCCGGGCTGTATTTTTTAAAACAGCCTATATTTGAAATCGTTATTATTAGCTATAAAAATCAAAAATAAATATAATTTATTTTTAAAAAATCCAGGCCGGGCCTGAAAATTTTATTTTAAAAAAAGCCGGGCCGAGCCTGTAAATTTTAAAAAAAAGTCGAGCGGTCTAAAAAAATTTTTAAAAATAGCGTAAAAAATCTTAAAAAAAAATCCGGGCCGTGCCCTGCAAATGGTACTTCTACAGGCCTCTGTTATTCTTCTTAAAAAAGAGAGTGAAACTAATGAGAAGAGTTTATAAACCCTTTTAATACATTGGGAATTTAATCTAAAATGTGTTTGAAATAATGCAGAGCATCCATAGCATTTTTTGGGACTATATCAACTATAGTTAATCTTATAAACATAGTTATTCAGCTAGTAAGGCATCATAAGATACTTTAACATCTTCATAATAAAAATCTAACAAATATTTTTTTTTTCTATCACCTCTGAAAAAGGTTGGGAAGGCTTTTGTGGAAGTAATATTTGCAGATGTAAGTGCTGCATGATATATTAAAAATTCATTTATTTGGGTTATAAATGTATCTGCATCTAAGATAAACCCTTCTACTGATCCTATATTAATGTTTTAACAATGAGCTTGCCTTGCTGTCGAGGGAGACAAATATAAACACGTATAGCTCTGCTTTTGACTCAACAATAAAATATAAAATATGAAATTCTTCATCAACATTAGCCCTAATTACCTTGAGTTCTGATAAAATGCTCTCCGCTATTCTCATCTTCTTAATCAAAACATTGTCATGTTTTTGAAAAGTAATACTTAAAATAGTTGTATAATTAAATAATACATTCTAATGAGAAATAAAATTTGGAATAAGCATTGAATCCAATAATTTTCTTGCTTCTGAGGAATACCATTTTATGTTAGATTTTAAAGTTCTTTATAAAGTTTTTAATCTATTCTTATTGTTTGCTTTAATATATTTTAATTTCATATCGTTTATATTGTATTTTATTTTTAAATTAAAACCATTTTTTAAATTAAATTACACAATAAAAAAAATACTATTTTTAAATTAAATTTCTCTCCTTTTAAAAAAAAATAGCCAATCAATATATTTTTTTATAATTTTATTTATTTCAAAAGGGCATTTTTTAAAAAAAATTTATTAATATTTTTTACAGACTCAAAAATTTTGGAAATAGAGTAAAAGAAAATTTAAATAAATGAATTATATTTGCTTTCTAGACTGGCATGAGAAAATCATATATTTTTTCTCTTCAAAAAATTATCATTTTTGGTTTTTGATTAATTCGTTTAGGGTATAAGTTATCCAAGTATAGGTTTTCGGCGAAGTCTCTAGTTGATAGTAACACGTTATGTTTTGCGAAGCTTTGACTGAAAAGAATTTTGCATTGAGTTGCCTTCTATAGGTGGATATCAAATTCGCGATCATGAGTTTCTTGCTACTGCCTCCTAACCCGTGAAGGTAAATGTGTGCTATTTCGCTCAGCCTTATGGGATTTTTGTTGGATTCGAGGAAAAGTAAGTGTTTAGAGCGTTTGGCCATAACTCCTTTCTTATTTTTCTTCTTTTTTTTGTGCGAATAAAATTTTATTGTATTTTTAACGAATATACAAAAAAAATCAAATTCTCATTTCGAAATAGCAAATAGCAAATTTTTTTTTAAGAAAAAGTGATTATTCACAATGAGGGGAGGAGTTTAATACATACAAAAATCAGCAAATCATCATGGCCCGTCCCGAAATTGTTTTAAAATATTATGCCTTACCGAAATTATTATTTTTAAATAGACCCGAACCGAAACCCATTCGGGCGGGGGACCGTGATTTGCAAATCTCTAACTACATAGTATTATTTACTGAATTGGATCTTAAATATTTTGATTAAGCCACAAATCAAATGTTTGAATGCAATAAAACTTATGACATTCCTTTATTTATAAAGTGATATAATTCGAGCATTGTTGTTAAACGGCTCAAATTAGCGACTAACCCACTATTTTATCCATAAAATATTAAGTAATGTAAACCTGGAGTTAAAGGTTTGGACTATATTGGATTAGGGTTAGGATATCGAGGCTTGCACAATATTATTTTGGCTAAAATCAAATTAAAATTAGCCAAATCGAGCCATTTTACAACACTAATTTAGAGTGCTTAAATTTTGTTATCATTTTCAATCAATTTTTTTGCTTTTATAATAGTTTTATTATTCAGTGGAGTAACAATGCCGCTACTATTGTTATTTTTTAGGCCTCTCAAAAATTCTGGCAAGTTTTTATATAGCCCGAGCTTCATTACGGTGCAACCTCAGCAGCCCTGGTTGTTACGCTATTGTGTACGGATATTACCTCATGAAGGAAAAATGGTATGTTCATGAGACTCGTCTTTGAGCAATCGATCACAAACATTTCTTGCGTATTAAAGCATTCTTTAGATACGTAATGCAATAAATCTTCTAGATTTCTTTCCTTTTTCATTTAACAAAATTTTGTATTTAGTTAATAAATATTTTACAACATAAAGTTTAAAAAAATCTTTTTGTAATATAAAATGAAAACTCAATTTCTATCATATAATTTTACTTTAAAAAATTTTTTTTATTATTCTACCTACCTAGAAGGTATATTTTATCTAAATATGTCATCTATTGCATTGGTTAGAATTTTAATTTACAGTTTTAGAAAGAAAAAAAAATTGATGAAAAGTTTTCAAGAGTTTTTATGATTGGTTAAAAATCTATTCTGCTTTATCGTGTAGAATCTTCGAAAATCAAAATTTTATAATTGCGCATGCGCCCTATTTATATAATTATTTCATAAACCTTTGGAAATTATGCCTACGGCCATAAAATTATCTATTGTTTTTTACCGGACTCTCCAATCTTTTTAGTTTACAAATATTTTGCAATTTGACTTGTTTTATGTTGAGTCCTTTGCAAATAGACGGTTTAATGGACCAACTTTCTGAATGGTCGTTTATATAATTTAAAAATGAAGATAGTTATGAGTATAATAAAACCTACAGAGGTAACTACCTTATTCTCACCCCTTTTCTCTTTCTTGTGGCGCTTTCTCCATTGCCAAGATCTTATTAACAATTTATCAAGATGTTTTTGTGTAGTATTGATATTGACCACCTATATGTTTACTAGCATGGAGGTTTGACTGAATATATCTTAATATTACTAATGTAATCCTAAATCAAGAGTGGATATAGATATTATTTTTAAATAATCATATCGTATACTCTATTCTATAACATCAACATGCATTTATTTTAGATTTTTTAAAAACAAACTGAAATTGAATATTAAATGGATTTGTTGAGCATTCTTGATAGAAGGGGGCAATGTTGTTAACAGGATAGGTAAAGGAACCAATGAAACGTTCTCCAGTTTAGTTCCTTCTGCTTTTGTGGAATCATGGAAAGCCAGCATGAACCTTCTAACCCTCCTCCATATAGTGCCGAAATCGTTGCTCGCAACATCGAAAATGACTAAGCGAGATGAGGTTCTAAAGTATTGGAGGAAATCTTCGGAATTTTGCTGATACTTAAATATACGACGCTTGTGTATTATAAAGTAGTTTTTTTTAACAATATTGATATATATTTTAAAGTACCTTTGTCTTATTTATTTTGGACAATAAATTTTCTGTAGAATTTTCTAAAAATCTCCAAGTTTTCTTAGCATGATGGAATAAATTTCTTCTGAAATAAGACATATTTAAATTTAAAAAACCTCAAAAAATAATTTTGAAGTTGAAGAAAAAAAATAACACATTGAAGACGTTAACATATATATAGTTACTAGTTGATAACCCATCAAGAATGACGGGAATAAAAAAATCATGAACTATTACAGGAAATTTTTTTTTTATTAAATAGAGAACATTCAGTGAATTTTCTAAAATTTGGAGGTAAATTCCATAATAAGGAGATTGTAAGTATTTCTTTTTCCCATTATCTATATAGATATAGCTGGTAGTAATTGAGGTATCGTTAATAGCCTGGATAACCTGATCAAACGCATGTCGTTGTAAAACATTTAAATTGGCTAACATTACCATTGTGATTGATATCTGCTTCTATTATTGGGTCATATAAATTAGATTGAGTGATAGGGTCAGAAGATGGGAAATTAAAATCGAATTGAACCCAGGACAATCTACACAGGTTAGAAGTATGGAGGATATTCCTGTGGTAGCAAAGGGTAAGACATTTTTGGTTGTCCTCTAAGATAGTGTAGTAGAGTATTATAAAGATATGTCGTCTTACCTGATCCACCAGGAGCATCTATATAGAAAAATCTGGTAGTAATTGAGTTATCGGCAATAGCCTGGATAACCTGATCAAATACATGTCGTTGTAAAGCATTAACAGGATTACTTACATAAAGATTTTATGAAAAATATACGTTCACCACCACAAAATATGGTAGTAAAATTTTTTTTTTATCTCAACCACAATATGGGAACTTTGCAAATAGTTTAAAATACCTATTTATCTATATCTTCCCATGCCAGAAAATTAACCTCCCTCACTAATCCTAAGTACTTATTATAAATTAAATTAACAAATATTTAGCCAATACATTTATCTCATATTTCCACCCCAAAATATGCCAGTATAAAAATTTTATCTCAACAACAATATTTGAACTCTGGAAATGACATACAATACCAATTTATCAATATCTAAGAAAATACTATTATATAAATTTGAATTAAATAAAAAATAATATTAAATTTTAAAAATTTTTCACTCATCCTACTGTTTTTTTACATTAATTGATTTTAAATTTAATAATATTCATTCTTACCATATTATTAGATTTTTAACTTGTTCAAATTCAAATATTTGATTCATCCTACTTTTTTTTCCTGAAATATGGAGGAAAATTCTATTAAATAAATTATAATATTAAATTTTATTTATATAATAATTTTACTTGACATAGTAAGAAATAATTTATAATTTGATTAAAAATTGGTAAATTTAAAAAGGTTGTGATCTTCTTAAAAATCATTAATTAAAAATGGTTGATTAATTAATTAATAAAACAAAGAAAATAAATTTAAACCAATGAAATAAAAAGAAAATAAATTTAAACCAATAAAATAAGATATTAATAAGCCAATAAAAATAAAGATTAATAAACCTATAAAAATACAGCAAAATAATAACGTATATAAGAAAGATTATATTACAAAATTTAATATAGAAGGTGGCTGAGTGGGAAGAACGATTGCCTTTAAAACGTTAAGTCATGGGTTCGAATCGTTTACAAAAAATTTTCTTGAAATTTAACATTAGAGAGATATAGTCTCCATCTATTTATTTAACATTAAGAAGATAGTAAAGTTGATAGGAAAAATAAAAATTAACATTAAGAAGATAGGAAAGTTGATGAGAAAAATAAAAATTAACATTAAGGATATACGAAAACGTTCATTTCTTGATTAAGGTGATTATACATATAGATGCGATTTTTTTCATAAACTTGTAATTTTATCTTCTTACTACATAACTAAATAACTTCATTGGTTTTATATAATTTGTAATTGACATCATCTCAAAGGGGAAAAATACTTTGATATTCAATCACCTTTGATTTGTTATCTAATTTTTCTGAAACGTGTAATTTTATTATCACGCCGATTCACAATTTTTCTTCTTAATTTGGTAGTATTTTGAAAAAAAAAATTAAATTTTACTTTTATATATGCTTTTTAGAATACGCTTTAGTCGCAAAAGAATCCATAATTTTTAAATAAGTAAGCCAGGCCTAATAGAATTTTTTAAAAATACCCAACAAACTAATTAAATTATTAGCAGAAAAATAATTTTACCTTCAATCGGCACTTCTCCTCTTCGTCATTGGCTTTTGCCACTGATTCGGCCTCTGACTTGTCATTATTTCCTTCGCTAAGCTCGTTCTCCAACAATACCACTTGGTCATTATCGATCCTGGTTTCCCCATTTAGTTTATTGGGCTTTTTAACAGATTCCAATAACCCTTCAAAGGTACTACTTTGAAGTGTTTGTTGTTCGGCAGGATTTGAATTTTCTAGGGAGAGAACCGAATTTTGCGTTAATTTAGCCGTATGACCTTTCTTTTTGTTAAGAGTGTATTTGGGTCTTTTTATGAGAGTTGAACCCGAAACGAAACTGGAAATCCTGTTTTCGCCTATACTAAGTGAGATAGCGAATCTGATGGGGTGCTGTATGTTTCAATTTTTTGGGGTTGTTCAAATAAAAATAACCTTAATTTAATTGATTCACGTCGTTATTAAGCTACGTTCCTCTAGCTCGTTTCATTTATTTTTAGGATTCAAAAGTTCTTAATAGAATGTGATTTTTATATTTAAACAAATTATATAAATATGGATACATCTGCGCGTCGTATTTTAAGCATGGGCGTCACTAGCCTTTACAATCTCAGGAGGTTCAAAAAAAATTTTTTTAAATTCTTTTCAAATTCTTTTTTTTAGTAGCTATAACATTATCTAAAATTACCTTCTTTTTTTAGCTACCATTATCCTAAATTACCTTCTTTTTTTAGCTAACTTTATCCTAAATTACCTTCTTTTTTTTAGCTGACGATAATTTAATTTGAATAGTTAATATTAATAGTTTATTCAACAAAAATAAATAATTTCAAACTTTTCCTATCATTTACTCCAAGTGGATTGAAGTAATAATAATAAAAATTCAAATTCTTCTATTAAAAAAACCGTTAGTTCGAATTGCTTCAATTCAGCCGTGGGATCCACAAAGTAATCAGTCCCAGTTGGCAAGAATTTTAAGCAAGGCATAATGTCGACCAAAAAACACTTTTGTGTCGGTAACTTGGGGGAAATATGGTTCAGCGAAAAATCATAAGCATTTTTTGGACTGCTATCTCTAAGTTTATTTGAAGGAAGATTGTTTGAATTTTTCGCGTCTATAATCGATTTGATAGCATTTAAGGTATTTGTCAGGGAAAATAGACTGGGGTAATTCTATAGAAGAAGAAAAAATTTTAAAAAATTATTATTTGTTGGCATAAAAACAAGGTCAGACAATAATCTTCGTCACCTTCTGCTATTTCTTAAATGTTCATAGTGCATGATGCAACTTTAAATGCAAAATCCTTTATTCCCATATGCAATTACATTTTAATCGATATGCTTGGAATAAAATTTTGTGATGATTCATTTTAAAAGATTTATTTACTGTTTCAAAATAATTTTAATTTTTTTTTATAATCGGAGGAACCACTTTAAATTTAAAAACCGGAAATAGAATCCAATTTTCAAACTCTCTACCTTAACGATATTGAATGTGTAGGTTACCGGAATAACAAATCCACCCTGCCTATACCACTATAATACATTGCCAAAAAAAATCAGGCATTGTACACATTGCTGAGAAAAACACATTGACCCTAACATATATTTCATCGTACATTTCTTGTTTATTAAAAAAAATGCATTGATTTTATTTCAATAAATGCCAAATAAATTAGATTAGGGTCATAAAGTTATTCTCAGGTCTTCGAACCGTTAAGTATAGTGGTTCGTTTCGGTTTTTAATTTAAAATTTTCAGGTTTACTTCGTTCCGGCTTTTATAAATTCCATTTTTTTAGAAAATTAATCATTAACCATTTATATATTAATCTTAGAGAAAAATCTTTTTAATTTATTTTTTTATAATTTCTTATTTAATTTAACCATTAAGATTATTTCTTATCTAATTAACTAGTAATTTGTCTAATCTCTATTAAATTGAATATATAAAGTAAAAAAAAACTTGATATTGATTGATATGAATATAATGACGATTTTTAAAAAAATTTATAATTTGAAAAGCAATCACGAATTTAAATTGTCCATATGAATCAAGTTTAAATTAATAACTAAAAATTCATTCATTCAAAAAACCTTTATGAACCGATTCAAAATATTTATAACTGTTCGGTTCGCTCTTTTTATGTTTTCTTTATAACGGTTCGGTTACGGTTTCGCGGTTTGGTTCGGTTTGAAGCCCTGGTTATTCTTGATTTAAACAAGGTTTGAACTCCTAACATTTTTTTTTGTTCAAATCCTGTGAAAATTATTCAGTATCATTAAATATTCTCTTTGTTGTTTAATTTGTGGTATTAAATGTGGAAACGAGTTATTTAAAATGGGTAAAAATTTATTTTTTCGTTGTAATGTAAAATTAAATCAATTTTCAACTGTTATGAAGGCTTATTTTATGATCTTTTTGGGGGATAAGATTATTTAGAATTAAAAAAAATATATTATTTTTACCATGTAACTTGATTACTTCTTTCGTTTTTTCTTAAATTTTTAAAGAACTCATCAAGGTGTGATTTTTGCCAAACTATTTAGCAATTTTGGCTAATTTGTTCCCTTTTTTTGGTTTGAAGGAGAATGGGGGTTAGTTTTTTTTCTTTTTCAAATTAATAGTGTTGTGTCTTTTTCCTCTTCAAAATCAATGATTATTTTATCGAATTAGGACATTATTGCTGACACATTATGTTAAAAAAATACTGTTTATTATTTTTTGAAATAGAGGTCATGATATAAACTATTTTTTTCGTATTCCCAGATAAATTGATATATTTATATTTTTTTTTGTCTTTAATATTTATGTTTGAGAGACTTTTTGAAAATGTTCAATTTATCAGAAGGTTATAACGCACATATACATTTTATCAATCTCCTGATACTTTAGGGTTCGAGCTAATATCACTGAAACCTGGAACCGGACTTATATAAAAATATCGAAATAAAAAATAGAAAATAACCTAAATACTCTATTGCACATTGTAAACAACTAAACCACAATTAAGTTTCTTCCTTTCTTTCCTACTTACCTACCTGCCAATAAATTTAAACTTTAAAAAAATCCATGACCGTAAGCTATCTTTGTTATATTTTTCCCCGATCTCTTAATTATGCAAATTTTATAGTCTTAAACAAAAAGTCCGATAATTTTTTTTTCCCTATTAATAACCAATTTATTTTGAATATATATTCAAAATTAAAACAAAATTATTAGCTATAATTTTTTTTAAATTTAATTTGCATAATAAATAAAGATATAGGATAGTTGGAGTTAAATTACCTAACTTTAATCAACTATAAAACAGCGTAGCAATCTATTTATCCAATAATATTCGAATCAATCTTCAAGTCGAGACTCAACTTAGAGGCTTAATTCATTTTTTAAGGCTAAAAGCTTGACTAAATGACAATAGATATGATTAGGTAATTTAACAACACTAATATAGGATATCTAAAAAACAAGCAGATCGATTACAACAACAAAAAATTTAACCACAAACATTTTACGATTGTATGAGATTCATTAATGAAAATGTTCCATTAAATCGTAGGTAAAATAAAACATAACCACATTTATAATGGTTTTTTAAAATGCTGAAATTTTTGATCTCAAAAATTAGGAATCTGAGGTCTATTAGCTTCCTCGCCTATTGCTTGAGCCTTAAGGAAAATGGATAGGGGGGGGGGGGGGATAAAGTTTATTTATAATTATAACTTGTATATTTTTTTAAATTATAACTCTTCTAAATTTTATTTTCCTTTTATCAAATTTACAAATTTTCATAAATAACGATAAAAAAATGTTACAAAATACAAGCACTAAAATATTTGAATTTTACATAAAATATAATAAAAATAATTTTATGAAAAATTTATTTTTAATATTGAAAAAAAAAAAACTCTCGAATCCTGAACCTTAAATTTCAAGAAATGATTCCAGTTTGGGTTGGGGTTCATAAAATCTCGCGGGGTCCGATTCTCAGCTCTTAGTAAAAGTAATCGATTTTGAAAAATTGTATCATGCAAATCTTCAAACTAAGTAAGGATTTTACTTTTTAATATAAAAAATTATTTATAATTATCTTAAAATTAAATTTAAAAATATGCTTGCACTTGACATAAATGATAGGATTCATATTTTTTATGCAGAAATCAAATATTATCTGTAGAGGAGAGAGCGGGCTATTAACGATTCCCTTTACAGTGGCAACTAAGTAGCTCTCGCTTCTACCTACTAGCTTTTAAAACAAAAATAGAATTTCATTTTTGATAGAAAATAAAAGAGGAAATATAAATTTATAATATTTTTTTATTATTTAATATTACGTAATTCTTATCCTTCATATTAATGTTTCGCTAAAAATAAATTCCGAGATTTCGTTAAATCTTTTTTTTTTGAGGGAAAGAGAGAGAGAGAGAGAAAAAAAAATCATAACATTTTTTAAAGGCTTTATATTTGTGATTTTCTTCTAATAAAATATGCATTTAATCAATCATTAATCAAAATCCATATTCATTAGGAAATAATTTTTGATAAATATGGTATAGGTAGGTATACTTAAATGTCATGTCAAAATCTAAATTTTTTTTTCACGGCCACATATCAAAATTAAAATTAATTTTTTATGTTTCCATATAATAAAACATTTTTTTTTCTTCCTGTCAAGAATTTTATTGTTTTTATAGTGTTTTTACTATATTTAAATGAAGTTCATTCAATCAATCTAATTTTGACAGTGGTGTTTAGTCAAAAAAAATTGAAATATGGATAATATTTAGTCTTACTTCCAGCTTCCTATAAACATATTTTGCATTATGGAACTCTTGGAGAAATAAAATAAGAAAAATAATTATTATTAATAAATAAAAAAAAGTGTCTCTACGCTTTTTTTAAATCAAATTTGGCGGAACATTTTTTTAGACATTCTCAATGAATAATGGTTTAATATTATAAAATGATTTCACCTCATGACAGGGCAAAGCTCTGTCGATCGCCACAAATATTCCGCTTTTGATGCCTAAGATATTCACATATTTAACCACCATTAGTTTTAACTAGTGTTGTTTCAAATTTTTAGACAGAAAAATCTCGCCTAAGCCTCGAGATTTCGATAATATATGTCTAAACCTTTGTTCCTTCTATGAGCAAAATCTTCAGGCTTGCGTAATATTTTTATGGATGAAATATTGAGTTAGCCGTTTTAAAGAATCGGTTCAAAACGAGTGGTTTAACACTGGTTTTAACATTACTAACTTTTTATATTCTCTATTTTCAAAAAAAACCGCAGGTTTAGGCTATAATTTTCTACTATGCTAAGTTATTTTTAGCCAGCTAAAAGACGCTAAACGGCTAGGGTCACTTATCCGGCGTTTTACCTCAAATTCTTTTTAAAATTTGGAGACCTTACACGAATTCATGCAAATCTTTATAAACCATACCATCTAAACATTAGCTCCTATTCCTTATTTTAAAAAGGTGTTTTTTTTTTTACCTAAACTTATTTATAGGTTTACCGCTATATTTATCAAATATCAAGACTTATTGAAATTTTTTAAAAAAAAATTCAAACTATTTATAGAACAACCTTTGAACTTAAAATTGAGTTAATTAAAGCTGAAAATTAGCATCCTTATCTAAGAAAATGGATTTGGCTTTATCCATATTTCGATGTTGCCCTAGCCCTAAGTTTTACTCATCTAGTGGGACGTGAGCTTATACTGAAACAACTCATAGAAAATACGAGTTTTTTTTCTATTATTACCCCTATCTGTAATAAACAAAAAATCTCTACTAATTTATTAATGTTCATATTAAAATATTGGAGATTGCCCACCCCAATAATATCCCTCTGCAAGTTTTAGCTCCAAATAAAAAAAATGGCCAGCACTAAGCGATTTAGAGTGCCAGATGTGACTTGATAGGTAAAAATTATTGATATAATTCTTTACTAATCTAAAGATAGATATTGTCTCTAGCTCGAATATTTTAGGGCCCGGCGCGGATATATTTTAAAAATTTAAAATACGGCTCGACCCATATACTCGGGCAGGACTTAGGTTCGGGTCGGGTCTGCAGGTCTCTTATTTTTATACGACTGCGAATAATTTTTTTTACAATAATAATAATTTATATTAAATTTTCATTTATTTATTAAAGATTCGACCAATTCTTCATTAATGAATATTAATTTTTTTTTTAAATAATTATTCCCCCCAATTAATTTAGTGATTGATCAGATAATTTGGATCTAATTTTAGTGCAGAAGCTATAAACCAATGAGAAGGTTATTTCAGCATCTGTTGAAGTCATGTTTTATGTACAACTTGCAATATATAATTTCTGAAGATTTTTTATACGCTTTCCATTTTTAAACAATGTAAACTCATGTAAAAATTATTAAAATCACGTTTTTCCTGTGACTCATCCTTACCTTTAATTATCAAGTTCATTTTAGACCTTGGATCTTTAGTGAAAAATTTGAGGAAACCCAAAATCCTACAGATTGCACATCTGTTAATCGCTCAAAAATGGATGTTAAAGCCTTATCATAATCAAGCGACTATTTTATTAAGATGTAATAAATAATTTTAAACCTCGGCATATTCTTTTAGTTCTGAGGGTAACATTTGATTATCCAGATGGGTCATCAGATATTCTAGAATAATGTTGTTGGCGGAAATGTATTCGTATTCGAACATATCTATAATGTTGGAAGCTATCTCGCTTTTGAAAGACCCAGGGCCACCTTATAATATTTATTTATATAATTTATTAGTACATTATATTTGAGTTGATTAACAAAGAGGTTTAAGAAGCTGGTATTAACCGAAATATATCAGAAAATATATATTTAAACTACCAAAATAATGTTAAATTTAAAAAATTGAATAAATATCTATATTTTGATGCGAGCAAAATAGGGTTAGTTCTTTCTTTCTTTAAAAGTTTTATTGTATAGACAAGATTTACCGAAAATGAAGACTATAACAGAAGGAGAGATGTCAACACCGGAATAACTTCCTACCTGCGGAAAATTTAAATCTATAGAACCAACTTTGTTACCGTTAGTGAGTATATTGGCGTTGACAAAGCCACTTCTCTTCATTATGTCATTTATATAGGAATAATCTTTCTCCAATGACCCTTTAGAAAACCTCAAAGAAGATGGGGGAATATTCTTGACTAAATTCGAGTTGTAAATAATATTCTTAATGTCGCGATGCTTTGAATTTGATGACACCATATTGTTAGATGCGCCGGGAGTTCCAATAAACGTTGAGATAGATTTCTGTCTCTTTTTTTTCCTGCAACTCAGTATATATCTGGATATGCTTGTCCTTAAGGTAGATAGCAGGGTTAAAAAGCGTTGGTATTTGTTGTAGGTAAGAGAATTGGCTAAAGATAAAGAATTTTGACTCTTTCCATGGTTCAATGGGTGATTGGAAGAAAGTAAATTCGGCCTGTTGGGGTCTGAGGTTATTATTTTATCGAAATTCATGTGAATATTGTTTGTCATTCCTACACTGAATTTTTGTCCGAATATTATGTCCCCCACTCCTACCAACTATTATTCATCGTTATATTTTCTCTTATGATGTGGTATAAGCTTGATTGACGTCTAAACTTTGAATGATGTGCCGTTCTTACTCCTGTCCCCATATATAAAGAATATAAAATTTCATAATCACATTTATTTTTGAAAAAGTTACTTTTTTTAGAAAATTTAATTTTCTCTTAAAATCAGATTTAGTTAATCGGTAAGATATTAAAATGTTATTACTAAAAATAATAATATTTTTTATATTCTTATTTCATGGTCAACGTGAAATGTAATTACATTCTGTTCCTAATTATATTTTTATTTTAATGTGATTCTAATGTTAACTTATAATATTTATTGTAAAAATAATTCTAAATTTTAATTTTTTTTTTAAATAGCATTTCCTAAATTATTTAAATGTCACAAATTAACAATATAAATTCGTGTTAACAACTATTTAAAAAAATATATATTATAATAATTTTTATCGGCTTTTTTTTATGATATAGTTATAAAATATTATTATAATTGGAATCAAACCTCCAAAACCTGATCACTTCCTTTATATTGGTCCATTTTGGTTAAGGTGTCTTACTGGCAAAATCGCATTTAAAATGATGATCCAATTATTTTTTTATTATCAGCTGCTACTTGGATCAAAACGTATATACGCCCTTGCGTGGTCAACCTATGAAGGTTATCTTAAAAATATTTTTAATTCTATTTTTGGCTTAATAGCTTAATAATTCTTGTTATTTTTTAAATATTGATTTTAAAAATATTAAGAACAAAAAGTATTTCGTAAATTAGTATTATAGTTATGTAATATATAAGAATAAAAAAGTATTTAAAAAATAAAAAAAATAAATGCATAACATTTTGGTTTCATTAAATACAGCAGACCCTTAAGACTCAAGGTAGCCCCTCGGGAGAGAGTACACATTAGAGATATGCAAAAATAGGTCCGGTTCAGGTACAGGCCGGGCCGAGATAATTTTTTATAAAATAATCTGTTTCGGGCTGGGTCGAGCCTAATATTTTTTAAGAAAATTCAGAGAAATTTTTTTTTAATATATCTAAATTTATCAATTTTATATAGAATTTTTTATGTAAAATAAAAATATTTGATTTTATTTATAGAAGCTAGACTCCATATAACATATATCGATTATTTTGAGTAATATTTAAATAAATTCGGGCCGGGCCGGGCACAACTTTTTAAAAAAAATTTGGGCCAGGCTTGAAAAATTAGGCCCGATGCAGATCACTAATAGACATGCCATATTCTATGAGTTAGTTTGCTGGATTTTTAAAGATTAAATTATTAAAAAGCGGGTATAGCGGGAAAAAACGTTATATAACGCATTTGTGCCAAAACAATTTCAAATTTATCGAATTTTAATTAATTTCTAATCATAAATTACAAATTTATCAATCTTCTTTCAACCATTTTTATATTTATACGATGTTCTATTTTATTTATATTTCTTTGGTTAATTTCGTGACCACATGCAATCCTTGTTTAAATTCGTTTAACCATTAATTGGGTATCGAATAAATTTGAATACTAAAATTGCACTTATGGGTCATAGGTTTTTGGAAATAATGTATATACATACTACTACATTGGCTATTCATTAATTAAAAGTGTCCATGCATAAGAATCAGCTGTTGCGCCATTTTGCGATCTCCTAATTGTCTCTATTTATCATTATGAATGCACATAAGTGTTATTTACATTTAATCTACATGAAAACTCCAAAATGGCGCTAGAGCTACTTTTATGTATGGGCACTTTAAAGTGCATTTAATGAAGAATCTTTTTATATATATATACTTTATTGTGAGGCCAAAATAATATCGGAATATTTTTTTTATATTCATTGACTTTGCCTGTGATATGAGAAAACTTAACGAAGATTGGCTGCAGTTATAGTCTTCTGGCAGAAATATGATTTTATGAACTTTTTTATCTCCAGATATAGCCTGCTGGCAGAAATAATTCCAGAATTTATTTAGAATACGTCATTATACGTTAAATTTTACAAAAATTAAAACTGGAATTTTCGCATTAGCCAATAATATTCATCACTCCAAGTCCTACTTGGATTTATTAGAATATTTGGATTATTTTTAGGTTCATAATCAGAATTGTTTTTTTACTTTTGAAATAGCGGAAAATAAAATATCCGTCGATAAAATATGAATAAAGATTCCAGCGAATTAAATTTCTTAAAATTGGCATCTTTTAAAATTTTATGATTTTAGACATTTTGACGAATTTTGGCGGGATTTTAGGATTTTATGTATTTAGCAAACATTTAATCTTGTTATTTTCCGCAGGGCAAATTCATTTAGCGGGACGTATGACAGTTCTGGAAGAGATTGCGAGAGAGGGTTTATAACTATTTTAGTTCAACTTTAAAACGGTTATATAAAATGTCATATCTCATTTAAATTTTTATAATTTATAAATCCATGCAAGAATTGGAACATATTTAATATTAAAAATTTTATAAGAATTTAGGTAAAGATTATATTTAAAAAAATTTTTAAATTCATTTAATTAATTCTGATTTTTTTTAAAATGATTCTTTTATTATTATTGTTCTCCCTGTTTTCAATCTTGGCATTATTATATAATCAAAATGTCCCATAGGCATTTTCGTGAAGTTCTCATCTAGACCAGAAAAAAGTTTTATAAAATTTCTTATGATGCGATATCATCATATGTTTCAATTGTCATACGCTTCGTGGTAATCAAAATTTTCCCCTTCCCGCGCTTACCTTCCACCAGGAATGTTTATATTCTTTTCCTGATATAGATAACAGCAAGATGTCTTCTTTCCAGCTTAGCTAAACCTTAAAAGACCTAATATCAAAAATATTATCGAGACCGCAATAACTCAACCTGAATCTTTCTCAGAATAAAAGTTATCTTATTTCACATTATTAACAACTAAAAGCTTCCTTACTATAATATAAATAATATAGTCTATATAATTTTATTAAGCTCTAGTAGATTCTAGTTTTCTAAACTTATATTCTATAATATTATAAATATATCAAGGATTTTAAACTGTATTTTCTTACTTTTTTAACTTTTGAATAAGTAACGGTTTTCACATAATTATTCCTATCCCGCAAACTCACATTTTGAATATGGCACGTCTAATCACCATACCTAGTTTTGTCCTAACTAATACAACTTAAAAAAATCTTTACAATTTTTGTTCAGGTTATTCTTTTATTAGCTCCCACAATATATTAAATCCAAAGCCAGACCTGCTCAACCAACTTAATTTCTCCAACACTCTTGATAATAGATTTATTTATATGCATGTTACCTTAACGAATCTACACCCCTTCCCCCTCCCATTTCCAAATTATCCCCTGAGCCTTTCTTTCCCCTCTCCTTCTGTAAATATAAATGTTTACATCTAAACCAGTCTTTATCCATGCCTATGCTGCGGAGTGCACACCTAACAATGGGATCCTGAAAACACATGATAAAAGTAATATACGATACTCTTTATCACGTCAATCACCTATCGCAAGCCATATTTCTATTTTGTATGCTGTATCTAACACAAGCATCTCATTTACATCAGCTTTAACTACAATTAATAACATACCTGCTATAGAGACACCACCCTCAATGTGCTACCATGGCATTCTCTCTCCGATGAGTTCGTGCATGAAGCTGTTGCGGAAACAAAAATATAATTATTTTTGCATATAAAAATTATACAATATTTATAAATTATTTATTTCTTTAAAAAATATTACTTTATAATTGGTGTCTAGATTCTTCGATCCATCCCAGAATATTCAAAGAAACCCTATTATACCACAATTTACAAAAAAGATCGTTCTCCTTCCAAATCACCTGCTCGGGCATGAGTTCTCTTTATTATATTCCTTTCAAAATCTCCGTTTAAAACTGATAAATATTGAGATTTCACATGCCATCGGTATCTTTGCATTATAACATGCCCTCCCCCCCCCCATGTTCGTGTTGCAACATATATACCTAGAAAATTAGCATCTCTTCACTTTTCAAATTAGAGTGAAGAATTATTGATCGGATTTCGCAAATTCCTTGAAAGATCGATAAATTAGATTATAGCTGATTTCTTGTATAAACCCATTTTTTTGCAATGACCCCTTTGTCTCTATTAAAGAGTTTCTGTATCATGGTTTTATGACACAAAAAAAAATAGCCGGAAATAACCGAAATTCATATTTACAATCATTTTCACACATGTAGCTTTTTTAAAGAATTTGGCATGAACTCTACAACTTAAGGTAACCATTTGGCCTTTTTCCTATTTCTCTTTTTTTTCATATAAAAAAACTATATTTAATCTAAATTTTATAATTTAACAAAATATTTTATATAATTATAAAAGTATTTGAAAACTAAAGTTAGATTTGGTATAATTTAGTTTAATAAGATAGCATTTATAGTAAACTCATTTTGTTCAAGCGGTATGGTATTTAACACTTAATTATTTACAAAATCAAATCAAAGAATAGATATAATTTATAAATATGGGGCGTTATGATGAAAACGCTATGATAAAATTTGAAAAACATATTGTTGTGATGCATTTATAAAAAATAGGATATAATAATTAATGGCGAATTCGATAAAAAAGCATATACATTATTTTATAATAATAATTACCTCTATTTTCAGTTTTTCTAAAATTAGTTTTTAAAACTGAATCAGCTGTAATAACGCTGCATTAAATTATGAAGCGATAATACGTTTACTATAAATGCAGTGTAAGGCTATAGATACAATCAGTTTGTTTTCTTAAATGATGATACATAAACTTTATAGATAAATTATTAGTATAGATAAATTATTAGTCTAAATAATATAATTTTTTTATTATATTTTGCTATGTTGTCTTTGAATATTTTTTTAATAATAAATATAAAATGTTTACTTATTTGTCTTTTACCATAATATTTTCAAATAGTTTATAAATAATTTATTATTAAGTTATGGCTTTGCAGATCCTTGTCTTTCCTTTTTGAACGTTTATATATATAAAGACTTTAAAATTTTTTAAATAAAACTTTTCTATAAATTATTTATATCAATTTTTATCGTTTTCTGAAAAACATAATCAAAAATATATAAAACAAATATTTAAGACATGTCGCTTATATGTAATGCTCTTTGAAATAGGATAGAAGAAAATATTTTAAACCCTTCATA